TATTGTCAAGGATATTGTAACTTTCTTACAAGCAAATCAACAGGCGGGTATTAATCCATGGCAATACATAACTGCAGTTCGAATAATCGCTTCGTCGAATACGAAAACTGATTTGAAAGAAATGTTCAAGTCGGAGAGTCATTTCGATAGTGAACGATTTGTTGGCGGATCACAATTACTCATGAAACGATATCAAGCGTCGATCGATAGTATTCAAAAAGCTGGTAATTATGATCAAGCACGAAAGACATTTGGAGAAATGTTACACACTTTACAGGTAAGCGTGATCTGTTGTTGTTGTTGTCGTTGTCGTCGTCATTGATTTTGTTTTCATGTGTTACGTAGGATTTTTATAGTCATTCGAATTTTATCGAACTGAATTTTACTGCACCAAGTGATGTGCTCGGTCAACGAATATTTCAAACCGATGAATTTGCCTCGGTTAGTGTGCGAACATGCATCAGTTGCACGGGTTCAGCATGTCAAACTCAATCGAATTTGGATGAAAATATTTTGAAGAAAAAAATTTTAACAACAGGTTATTTCATACCGAAGGGTTTGAGTTTGATTTTAGGGAAAAAGCCGAAAGGCAAATGTTCACATGGCGGAACATTTGACGGTTCGTCAACTGACGACCCAATCGGCGGCATTAATAAAGATAAACTAGATTCCGTTCATGGACATTTACATTATCAAGCAGCGCATATGGCGTATCAAGGAACAGTGAAGATTCTTCAAGAGTTTCGAGATCAAATCGGCGACGAAGCATTTGGCTTATTTCTAACATTGAAAAAGAACCTGAATAGTTTAGTTATATCGATCGATACTGCTTGTTCCATGGCAGATTATGTTGAATTAGCGAAAAATATCTCGATGAACATTGTCAGCCAATATGGTCAATTAGAATTCGCTCCATATAATTACATTCTCATTGCATTTACAGATAGCACGGCCGAATTGGTTGTCAATACTCGCAATCCAAACGAACTAACAGATGCAATCCTAAGCTTAGATGCCTGTCGACAGCGAAATTCTACTTTGGGCGAATTGTACTATCACAGTTTAATCGAAGGTTTAAAACAATGTGAATATGGTTCGGTTATTTATACATTTACTGATTCACCAGCACGTGATGCGTATTTGAAACATCAAGCGCGTGCTTTACTTCGAAGTAAACATGCAGTTATCTATTCATTTATGGGTGAACAAATGAAACGACGATCATTGGTTTTAACAAAGATTCTACCCGATTTAATCGATCCATTGGATGGAAAAAATGATGATATTGATCTAGCATCCATCAGTGGTGGACTGACGTATCCAATAACAACCGATGATCGATCTGTGATTGCCGAATTCGTTCTTCGAAGATTAGAATGGACGAGATTACAATCGATATTTATCTACAAAGCAAAATCAACATCAGGATTGTTCTATGTTGATTCATCAATCGGTGAACTGCATTTAGATATATCATCCATGGGTGAGCAAATACTTTGAATTCCATATTCGACAGAGTCAGTTTTTTTGCCTAGGCGAAATCATCGATATCAGTGGAGTACAATTAAGGCAACCCAATAATACGTTGTATCCGTTAGTTGGAAACTTTATCGGCACGAAACATCTTTACATGTGGAAAATATTACAACCAGTACCGGGTGTATGGCGTTTGACCACATCGAATCTGTCGAATACGTTCGATCATGATGTTCAAATTCAAGGCAAGACCAGTTTGATATGCACGTCGAACTTACAAAAAGAAATTGATATGAATGCAGACAGTAGTGGATATACACAATTGACTACGGAACCTTTAATCGACGGTGATTTACTCGTCTTAACCACATGTGAAAATCTCCAACCTTCGACTGTTCAAATATCTTTGATTGATCAAACCGGAAATGTTCTAACGAATTACACACCATTTCAGTCGGATCAACTTGGAATTTTGACGCGCATTCGTGTGCCAAGTGAATCATTTCGCATTCAAACAATCGTTTCTTTAGCCAGTGGCGAGACAATTCAACGAATTGAAAAACAATTGATTTCACCCACGACCTTTTCAATTGAATTACTCGACCAGCCTTTCATTGTTTCCGCAGGCGAAACTATTCAAATGAACTATACAGTTCGTAGCAATTTGAAAGGTAGAGTTTCTCTACGTTTACAAATTTATGACATATTAAAACTAATGGGCTCAGACGGGATTTTCCAAAACTTGACATTTATCAATGAAACAACTGGAATAGCAACGCTGACCTTACCAGAGAATTCCACACAAACATTAACGACTGATTTGGTCATATTCGCCGTATCAACACAAGATAATCGAACAAAAACATATTCGTACGAAAACGATGAAACAGTGTCGGTTTATTTAGAAGTTAATCTGACATCTCGGATTAACGCAGTGAACAGTGTTTTCATTTCTCTTCTTTGCTTTATATATTCTATCTCCTATTGAGAACAAAAAGAAGTCATTTATCCTAATTTCTTTTTCTATTTGTCAAAGAAAGATTTAAAAAAGAACACTTCTGTTCAGAAGTCTCAGAAGAGAATTAATCGTGTTTGCGCTTCGCTTCTCACTCAAATGTCGTCGGTAGCATCAATAAACAACAGCATCCTTGAAAACAAAAATTCTGTTTCGTCAACACACGAAACGCCATTCAGTCGAACGATTAAATTTCACTTTTTGCTTGTTTGTCAAATTCTTTCGGTCGCATGCGAGAGCTGCTTTCGCCTATGGTCTCGCAACTTTCCGTTGATTTTGATGTTACAGTGTAATTTGCTTATTAATCTGTGATTTTCCCATCATAAGTACCGAATTGCCAGTAATCCTTATTTATATTCATTTTGGTCAACTTATGCCAGCATCATAACAACTTTGTCTCCATTGGATTTTTACAGATTATGTCTGTCGCTTCAATTCAACGATATATTCTCATCTTTCATGCTTATTTGATGAGTTCGCATGTAAAACATTACACATCTATTCTTCTACCAACTATTGTCATCTTTGCCTGGTATAGTGTACTGATTATCTTCTATCCACGTGAAGAACAATTTGATTATATCCAATTTTAGTGTATTGGTCCATGTTATCTTTTTCAAAGTACACTAGCAACAGTTGACTGGACACTATTTTCATTTGTACCCATGTTTTTTTGACGGTATTATCCAATAGTATCCTTGTTGTACGCGTAGTTTATTAAAAATATCAAATGCGACGTTGCCATACTTGGCGTACGATGACTCGTAAATTGTCTCTACAATTATTTTTAATCTTTTTTTTCTTTTACTAATGATTTATTTGCCACCACTTATCATTTCATTCATTCACACATGGTTTGATCCTACATTTCTCATGGATTTTAGTACACTCTATACTGGCTATGCTGTTTATTTTGTCCTATTGCTGATGCCATTCATCTGTTTAATTAGCATTTCTGAAGTTGATTTGCGAATGAAGAAATCAGTTTGTTTCAACAATCATGCCGAGCTCGAACAACATCGGCAAGCATCTACGATAATGATTACGAGACGAATTCATTAGTAGGCATGTGGAAGATCACGCCGGTCGAAAAGTGTCGTTTCATTTTATCATAAATATATAACTGGATTCTAGCGGATTGTTTCTCATATTCAGCTGTGAGAAGCCCAAGGAAAATATTTTTGTGCACTGACGATCTCCTATAGTACGATCAAGTCAAGTGCGTTTGCAGAATGTATAGCCTTACGAGTAACATTTAGTGACCTGAGAGTATGCCAAATGCCATACTAGAGTAAAATTGTATGCTTCTGTCGTATCGTTCAACGGTAGTTTTGAGCATAAAGCCATATGATACATGTACTTGTGTTGCCACGTCGACCACTCGATTGACATAAAATTGAGAAGTAGTAGTCGAGATAATACTTGTCGATACATTTGTTAATGGTTCATTGTTCCATGTAACGATTGCTGGAGATCATGGTTGACCGATACGTGAAATTTTAGACGATACTTAGACATGCAGCATAGAATAAGGTGAACTAGCATCACAAGAAAAAGAGTTCTTTGTATACAGTTTTGAATTTAGATCCGCGCCAAACAGTGTCAATGCAGTATTGTGTGTTTTTGCGCACTTCTTCTACACTTGGATATGCATTACAAAGCGTACTAACTGTTGTTTGACCACGTACTACGGTAGTATTGATCGATAAAATGACACTAATGCGAATTCACATTGGAGACTTCATTGTTTTTCAGTTTCTTAAATGAGAAACACACGACAACCGACATTTTCATCACATATAGTCTTTTCCATGAGTGTTTTATTGAGTAATGAGATAGGAGCGTGGCTTTTATCCCTTTCAACATTGACCAGATACAGTCATCGTTATCATTTGCCTCGAGTTGATGATAGCTGACAGTATAGGATTAAATTTTATACTATAGAGTATAATGAGCTGTCAATCAACAAAAAGATCTAATAATATGAAAAGTAAACAATCTTTTCATTCAATCACTGTAAAAGTCATCCGTTGGAAATGTGTCTGTGTGATTATGTGCACATAAAACTATGAAAACATTTGCAACAAATGTTCTTAATAATTCTACATTTTATCTGAAGTCGGAAATTGAACTAATGCAAGTTAATTGCTCCATATTCCATCCACTTTATCATGCATGCATTAAATTTAGAATGTTTTCAAGTCATCTTAACAAATTAATCAGAAGTATGCACTCTCATGATTTTCTTCTAAGAGCATTTACCACTACTCAATGCGAGCAGAGAGCAGAGGTAAGTCATTGTCTCTTTTCATCATTTGACATAAAACAATCTCTTACCTTAAATTCTGAAAAGTGCGCAATATGGTATCTTTATCAGAAATCACACCGTATTTTAGCATTTACGGTTTCTTTTTCACACTTATCTTTGGCACAGTTGGGGGAATCTTTAATCTTCTCACGTTTTCATCACAAGATTTTCGAACAAAGTCCTGCGTATTCTATTTGATTTGCTCCTCATTAGCTGACCTGCTTTTCATTAATGTTGGCATTATACTTCGTTTTTCAACGGAATACTTTGGAAATACTCTGGTCAGTACCAGTGATGGCATTTGTAAAGCACGTGCCTACTTGTTGGTATGTTTACCAACGATGGCAGCATGGTGCGTTGTATTGGCAACATTCGATCGATTTGCTTCGGCATCGTCAAATGGGAGATTGCGACAACTCAATTCAATTTCTTTCGCTCGACGTTCAGTTAGCATAGCGATGATCTGCATTATAACTTCCTGTAGTTTTCATCCGTTTATATTTAAGATTCGCAATAGTGTATGCGCAGCGTCGTCAGGTTTTCCGACGATAGCAACAGCTCTGTATGCTATCATCTTCTCTTGTATTATGCCTTGTACCGCTGTGATCACCCTTGGCTCTATGACATGGTCGAACGTGAGAAAATCTCAGCAACGAGTAACACCGATGGAGAATTCTCACGGTCAATCAACTGGTCTGCGACGTTTAAATCGACAACTGTTTATTCTGGTATTTGTACATGCTGTTGTAATATCTGTGCTCACGATACAACGGAATGTCACTTATACATATAACGTACTTACAAGTTCTATACAAAAAAGTGTTGAACGGCAAACAGTAGAATATTTCATCATACAAGTGAGCACTATACTCTATTACACGAATTTTGGTCTGTCTTTTTATGTGTACTATGGTTCGAGTTCAATGTTCCGACAAGTATATTGGAAGTCCGTGAAACAATTGCTGCATAAATGTTGTTCGTGTTGTAAACGCAATTAAAGATGACAAAGTCTTTATTTTTTGAATTTTCAAAAGAAAAAGGTACTTTATTATTAGTTACTTTTATAGGTAAAGAAGTAACGATAATCGGCTATGAGTTCTAAGAAAACGGTGATTGAAGCAAAGGATATGTCGGATCGATTTCAACTAGACGAATGATATTCAAAGCATTTGCTGGATTAATTCGGCCAGTGACTCGAAATTGTGTGGCAGGCTAAAGAAAAATTTCACTCTCTTTCTTGAAGTATGAATGAGAGCGGGCGACTCTTCCATTTGAACATACAATGGTAAATAGGGTTCGAACATCTGTCTTTCCAAGAAATTTTTCATTTTCCAGAACGTCAATTAGCTCTGTGCATGAACTATATAGAATGAAAATCGAAAAATTCGTAAAATGTAGAAACTAAATTTACCTGAATCCCCACCAAATCACATTTTCGCCAACTGGATAATGAACACTCATATTACCCTTCACACCACGCCACACAGCTTTTTTGGTAGGCTTCAATTTCCAAAGTGCCGTTAACATCAGTTTAAGATAAGAAAAATACGGTACGAGTTGATCACGATCTTCTATGGAATGATTTATCACTTGGCACCCATTCCATTGTATATAATTGAATAGTTGCTGATTCATCTATTGTAAGACCTTCGCAATCGACGCATTGCGATATACAGAAGGTACTAAAGCTTCTAAATTTTTTACAGCACCTATTAAAGTTACCAAGGGCGTACGTTGATACCCTTCGATACTACAGCAAGATATATGAAAATAATGAAGTTTGCACTATCAATCAGGTCGTTGCTTTTTCTTCTTCGGAAATCGATGGTTTAAGTTCCAAAGATACAGTTTTCCAATGAATGAAAAAAAAGAAACAAGGATTACTTAGAACAGCTTTTTGTTGCATTGATTTTAGATTTGTTTTCTCTAGATTAAAATGATTGATTTGAATGATGAAACCATCGTCATAGATATGGGTATGTGCAGCTGGTGAATCGGACTGTGCTGCTGCTGAGCTAGATTTTAAGGGCGACTTATGCATAGCTCGGTAGGCATCTTCATCTATAACTTCTAATGTCAAGATCTGATCAACTGTTAAGTCACTTTTGCTTAAGCTTGCAAGTAGAGAATAGAATCCATTTGAGGTCCTATATTGAACGGTTTGATTACTCACACGAATGATATAATTTCCGTTCGGTAGCCCCTGCTTGATCAGCAGGAGAATGTTCTTCTGTAGAAATGATTTGATAAACTGGTTCATCCGATTCTTGTTTCGATTGCATATGAATACCATAATCTTTGAAGTTGGAATTACGCTTCAAATGATATAGCCGTCGATTTTTCTGTAACTGATTTGACTGATGAGGTTTCGATTGTTTGACATGACCATGACCGATTTTGACCTTTTGCAAACTTAGTTGATAGCTGCTTTTGTCAACAATGAATAAGCGTATTGTTTGCTTATCCTCCGTGTGTTTTAGTTTATCTCTCAATTGTTCGTGATTTAAGTGCTAAATACGTTTACCGATACAATGTACTCATCTGTGCGCAGACCTATAGTGAATGCTTATCAGCAGATGTAATTATATGAGCAAACGATGTTTTCGACGAGGAATTATTAGTTGTTACTGTACGAAAATTAAAACCGAAGTTGTTAGTTAATTTAGAATCTCTTCTAAGCGACACGATATGCGTGAATGTGCAGATGATGATTTAGGTTCAAGCGCTAAGAAAACAGGGACAGATTGAATATGAAAATGAAGCATATAGACATAACGTTCGTTGATTGGAAGGCATAATTTGAACATTTGGAAGATTTTGGTGGATACGTTCATTTCGTGTTTGGCAGTCATCATAGGTTGAAGTGTCAATAACAAGCATTTGTAGTGGATCAGGATATCTTATATTATGAATATGTTTTCTCAAGACTTTCGGAACCAGATGTTCGATACTTTGACCATTCATTTCAATCAAACGATCACCAGACTTAATGCCGGCAGATTTAGTGTCTATATTAAAGGGAAATGTGGTCAATAATCTCATCTATAAATGTATTCTCTTACTGAAGGGCCCATCGTTACGATCGGATGTAGTATTTATCGAATGATAATGTTTTTTATTGTCGTATACAAGTTCGAAGCCGGTAGGATCTGTTGCATCAGCTCGCAAAATCGTAATACACAAACGAATATCTGGTTCGGTGACGAATAATGAAAGAAAGAATTTCGAAGCTGATAGTGATTCTTGCATTGTTTCCTTCTCTAGAGTGACTTTTGGTTATCCACAGAAAGAGCTGAATACACGGGGGAAAAATCCTAGTTAAGATAATTGGTTGACATTCAAGTATACATACATTCCTTTTACGCTAACTTCTTTGCTGATTCTTTTGGTGATAACGGTAGATTATTCGTTTTATAGAACTTGTATGTTTTCGTGTCAACTAGATATAGTTTTATAAAACCTCTGGTTCTTGCTTTGAGTAGTTTTTCTTCAACAAATGCTGTGCTTTCGTTTTCCATTAATTCATCGTCAATTTCAATGATTCGATCGAATCGACGTAATGGAGTGTTACTCGCTTGTGAATTCGGTCATATATCTTGTATATATGTGCCAATATCATCTTCACCATAGACAATATCGAAACCAAATGTTGTATCGGTTTTATTCAATTGTATTGTACATATACGTGGCTGATTTCGAGGAGAGTTTTCATATTCAGTCGGCACTGTTCGTGGTGCACGGATAGCTCTAGCGTATTTTGGGTTAGCGACTATCTTTTCGTTTTTTAGCATTTGATAAAAACATGCTTCGACAATCAGCAGGTGAAAAGAATTCGTTTGATTGGATAGTCTGAATATAATATGGTGGATTGGGCGAAGATGCAAGAGCAAAGCCGAATCCTTCATAATGATGCCAAGTGTTTAATCGACAGAAACGAATATTCGCCTGGTGTAGGAGTCTTTCGCAGTTGGACGTTGAAGTCATACTTAGTTTACAGATTCAGCAGTAGGAAGATTTTTTTCACTGAAATAGTGATGTTTTGTCTTTAGTATGCTTTTCAAAGAAGATTAGCTTCTGAAAATACGTGTGATAGCGGTAAGATAAAATTTCTTTCATATATGAATGTGGGTCATCATGATTTTTTCATGTCGTTGCAGGAGACGATATAGGTTTTAGAAGAATCTGTATGTTCAGAAGCAGCAATCAGTTTAGTACATGATTCAATTAATCATACTTATATAATCGTGTAGCAAAGACATTTGGTCGAAACATTTTCTATTGCAATCTTAGACATACAGTCATCAACACACATTAGTTAATGATAAACGATACAGATGCATTTAGACTTTGTATGAAACGACATTAATACACACCATTGTTGCTTGAAGAAAATCCTATTTTTAGTATATTTACACATTCATGTTGAAATCGAACAGTGATCATCAAGAAATGATACGCTATAGCTAACAAAATAATCATACAAAATTTAAAATGTAACTATGCTGTAGTAAAAATTTGTGATTTGTTAGGATGGGTTGATACTGCTACGAAGCACCACTTCGCCTTCAGCCGATTTCATTCATTGATGTGATAACGAATGCGTTTTCACCTTTCCGAAGTACTTCTATGTGTTCGTGTGCTATTTTGAGGCACCAGGAACAAATTCTGATTTTCAAAATAATGTATACATATTTTTCTTCTTGATTCTTTCGATCAGAATGTACTTTTACAGTATTACATTTCTTTTAAAAAAAAAGAAGAAAACAAGCAGGAATCCCTTCGCGTAGATTCGTTTTTTCTTTGTGTCTCTATCTGATTACATTCCTACGGCTTATATGCAATAGAAGTAATTGATTGTTGTCGGCTTTTACTTTTAAATACCAGTCAGCGATTTATTCGAACAGATCGATCAATCCATGTCGCAGTTCTTTTTCATTTTATTCGCCAGTATATCTGTCCTGGCAAATAGCATCTTTCATGTTTCGAGCGCCGTAGTTAGTACAACCAAAACCACTGCGTCAAACTCGACAGCTGTTGGCTGTTTCGCTGATTTTTTTCCAGCATCACGAGCAATGACTGGTGCTTCGACTACTTCAGCTAGCAACACTCCTTCAAGATGTGCATCGTATTGCACATCTTTAGGATTCCCCTATTCTGGAACTGAATATGCCAACGAATGTTACTGTTCGATGACAGCACTAATCACTACATCAACTGCTTGCACGATGGCTTGCGCAGGTGATTCAAAGGCCATTTGCGGAGGAGCGAATGCTATATCGGTTATGTATACAAATATTTCACGTCTACCGGCTACAAATAGTACGAAGCGTGGTCTATGTTGGCCATGGAATAATCCGGCATCATCATTTGCTTTCTTCTCACCCAGCGCCATACCATGGCTTTATAATTGGGAACTGTGGGATCCACGAGCAAAAGGTGTCTATTCGACAGCTGAATTCGTACCAATGTGCAGAACACAAGCGGAAGCTTCTCAAGTACCGGCATACTTTAAAAACTGCTATGCCAAACGCCTTCTAGGATTCAATGAACCGGATCTCCCAGCAGCAAATGGTGGTGATTACATCTCACCTTACAATGCATCTCTTCTGTGGAAACAGTATATTCAACCGGTGAAAAAATCGTGTGGTACGCTATTAGGCGCACCAGCTGTGACGAATGGTATCGGTTCAGGATGGGGAACGGATTGGTTACATCAATTTTTTAGTAATTGCACTTCACCTGCATGCTCATTTGACTTTATTCCACTTCATTGGTATGGAACTTCACTGACGAATTTTGAAACATACATTGCTCACTTTCACTCATTGTTTCCAACCTATCCTTTATGGATCACTGAATGGCAGTTTACTGATGTTTCCAGCACAGTAACAGCCAACCTGGAAAAACAAGCTTTACAATGGCTTGATGCGCAAAGTTATATAGCAAGATATTCCATGTTTGGGCCAATGAATTCGGCAAATATGGCTGGTATTGTCAACGCTGCTATGGTCAAAGATGACCTTAGTGGACTGACAGATATCGGCAAAATCTATGCTGGGCTATTATAGACTACGAAGATATTTCATACTTTAGAGACAACAGTTGCATATCGACATGAATACAAAAGCTCTTTTTCTCGTTTTCCAACTAATTTTTTCATGCTAATATTAATAAACATTATATGCGAACGACTAGCGGATTAGGTAAATGATCATTGTTTTATATAGTTTAGTAGGAACTGTGTTGTAATTCGGCATGTATTAAATCTAGCATTAAAAAATCTTTTTTATCATATCTTTTTAACTTGGAATTTATTTTTAATGGGCTCGTGATAATTTGATAATCATCTTTTCGACTGTCTAATATATCTAGGCTTTAATGAGAATATTAGTTCCGCATCAATCGTTCTGTCAAAACATCTCTTCAAGTGAACAATGTAATTTATTGTTGTGTATATGATGAACTCAACGACACAATCAAATTTTCGTCTGAGTACGACCTTATAGTCTAAAAGCATACCAAGATTTTGGCTCTTAAATAACGTCTGAAATCTTGATTGCATAGAAATAAATCACACATACACACAAATAAACTGAAAACAGCGAAAACTTGCAACAGTGTGTACACAAGTGGACTAACACTAGAATGATAATCGATAGCTACAAGACAAAAAATTGGAGCCCATCCGATAACAAACATTGAAAACATAAAGGTCATATGTTGCAATAGATATAAATCACGGCGAGGAATCGTTCGTCGCTGACGAACTATTACATCGCCGGCACATGTAGTCGCTTGTGGATAGATTCGATGAGACGAGGCGCGAATATATTTGAATATGAACAAATTTGCACCAAGAGTGATCAATGCTGGAACAACGATCGAAATAATTACGGTGTATCCAAGCAACCATTGTGGAGCAGTACAATACTAAAACGTAAGAGTAAAACATTTTTAGTGGCTTAGATTAATTTGTTACCGGTAAGATAGACAAAGCAAATGGTAATGAAACAAGGCTAGCAACAACCCATTGAATAGCAATGCACGTGAACATGAATATTTTCGTTTTAAAAAATCTTTGTGTGTGATGTACGATTATAAAGAATCGATTGATAGTAAGTGTTACAAATGAGAATGAGCACTGACATAGACATACAGATTGAATGTAAAAAAGATAAGTGCAAGTAGACACTGTGAATAAATATTCGATGTAGAATTCATACATGATAAAGTAAACCACAAAATAGGACGATACGCAGATGGTACCGAGACAAATGTTGAGTGTTAGAATGTTGATTTGTTTGACTAATTCACGAATGAGCAAAAGTGAAAGAGCGTAGAATAATGCAAGACAAATACTAATTCCAAATACAGTGATTTTCACGAATGTCAATATACGCAAAAGATCCGCCATGATTTCAGATGTATATTAAAAATGAGCAACTCAATGGCACTGATAGTAAAGAATAGATTGACGTTGTCTAAATCAAACAATGAATGCACCAATGATTTTCTCCTCGCAGTGTGATGAAAATAGCAGTCTTAGTAATTCTTTTTTTTTCTCTTTGAATTTAAATGCAGGCGCTTTTATTAAATGGTTCACTAACCCTTTGAAGACCGGATTATTTTTTTCTGAAAATCATAATACATCAGTCATCACGGAATTAAATCACTCAATTAGGTCTCAGTGCATTTATTTCGTAAAGAGCACAGCTCAACAGCATAGATTTGTTGCATTGTACATGATTTTACGCGTACAGAAGGATATTGAATCCATGTATATTTACTTATTTCTGAAGAAATTAGTAAAGACGCACATGTGCGTTTCCGATCTTCAAAAGGTTTATTCAATATAATATAGGTACCAACAAATGTAATTAATTAGGAGTGAGAGAGAAGTAATTGTATGACGTTAGTAGTTGTTACGATGAGTAATCTATTGCAAAGAAACCGATACTAGTAGACATTTTATTACGATGTTATATAGATGCCATTACGATATTAGTACGACTCGTTGGATTAGTTACTAATCGTGAATGTATAGACTGTTTGAATTTTATCAAATCAAGTTCTTCATTAATTTATACAAGCGACACACGTCGTGGAACAAGAAAGAATATACGCTGTATTACAATGATTATTTTCTTAGTTTATATCAATCAAGATTGTTAGGTATAAAGACATATTTTTCTCGAGTTTTGTCTTCTTTGAGTAATACAATGTATAAATTTAAAACAGCTCAATTTAATAATGACACATTTTTTATTTGATTGAACTTTGTTAAAGATTGGTTTTCACATGAATTGAACTTGTCATAAAAAAAATGAATCAACTGCTGAGTCAACAAATTAGTTTTCAGATAAAGAACATCTAACATAACCAATCATTTCGATTTCTTGTTAAACATGAGTCATTCATTTTTGTTCCATAGATTATACAAAATAATATCAAGAAATGGAGATGTAAATAAGAATTGTCAACCAGAGACAATGTTCGAACTCATCCTCAAACTCTCATCATATCGTTCAGCTAATGACGTTACAATTCATATTATATTCAAATATTTTTTTTTGAGCTGTGCACGAATAGAAATCGATTACAGTCTTATAGTACATCTTTCAAATAAGTAATTAATAGCATATATTAGATTTCAGATAGTGTCCGCTGACTTTTCCCAAAAGGCTTCAGCAGATACACGTATCGAAAACATTAACTAATGATGAAAAACGACTTTCGTTAATTGAAACAAGAAAGAAAAAAAGAACGAGTTATTTATCAATCATATATGTCATCGTTACAACCGTTGTTTAATATTCAATAAAGACAACTGACAAGAATGGTTCTATTCTTCACACCAATAACAGTATGCGTCTGACTTGTTAAAAAAATTTAATCAATGGATGATGATAATTCAAGAAAATAGAGGCTAACAGAGACAACTTTCAGATGACTTTTCTATTATTGAATAGAGACGCATGGAGAGTATTTATGAATGACAGGAAGAAGAGGAGAAAGCAAAAATAATCGCTTTGCATTCTTTCTTTCTTGCGCTCTCTCCTCGATGTCAGTTATGCCGGAAAAATAATAAATCGACAAAGAATGTCTTTTCGTACCATTATCTCGATCAGATGGATCTATATCAAATACGTGTTCCACTAGTTTCATGATGAAAGGCGACGCTACGACTAATCAATCGTCTAGATCCTTTAGACATATGTGCACTGCTGCTCGTACAGCCCTTATTCGTAATGCCAAAGACTTAAATTTATTTTCCGATAATCCATTTTGGTCATCGTCACTCAATTCTTCAGAACAAATCTACAGCACTCGACTCTTTCTACTATGTATTTTCGTATCTCTTCTCATAGTCACCGTATATGCTAGTGTCATTGTTCGAACGCATAGCATCACGCTCAATAGATTCTCTCTTTCACAAATCGAATCTTTACAAGCTCGTTATCCGACGACAATTAATGTACCTTGCGCTCAAGTATCGATTCCCTATCATAAGTTTATCGAATTTTCACCGATCTTCCATGAAATATGTTCGAGTGCGTTTATCGACGAACCATGGATTTCTTCTCTCTTCCTTCCCAATGCAACATCGCACAATATTCTTGATTTTCGTACATTTTCCTTTGCACAATTCCAGGCGTTAGCATTACTTTGCCAAACGGCAAAACAAGCAGTTTTCGATGCACATCGAACCTTCCATTCAACCAATCTAGTCACAAATTATCTTTTCACACGCGAAGAATTCCTCGAAATAAGTAGTGTCTTAATTGACAATCTTTGGAGTAATACTATAGCAAACGAAAACCGAACAGCAAGAATTGTATCCATGAGCATTGTACAAAATCGTATTATGTCAGCGTTACGTACAAATTTCTACATCCAATCGATGTATTTATCGAATGTTTATATTATCTACAATGGACATTATTGGAAGAAAGACCAACTATATAAATCTGTTTGTGAGTGTCGATTGGAAGGATACCGATGCGTTGCTCCTGCTGGCGCTTTCTATAATTGGACACAATTCGATTTAGACACGCCCAGTGCATCACAGTTATTACCGACCCCACCGTATCGGATTCCTGGTCTCATGGCCGGTTGTCTACCTCTTGAATCCATCCGACAATCAACACTTGAGTGTTTATATGAACAATCTTGTATTGACATTATGACACTTCAATCGCATATATCTCATCCACGCGCTCTAAACAAATCTTCTACCAAATTTTCATTGAATACAACAATTGGTTTTATGTTTGACAGATCACTTTTTGTTGAATCTTGGCAAACGAAGCTCGATTTTGAAAGCTATTATCATACATGTGCTCCTCGATCACTCACCTATAGTTACGAGAGTCGACTTCGTCTGATATCGATCATAACCATGTGCGTTAGCGCTTTCGGTGGGCTGGTCATTGCATGGCAGTTCGTCATACCAGCGATTGTGAAAATTTGGACATTCCTAGAACGGAAAAAGCAACACATGAACACTACCGATCAAACTGATACCAATTCGATCAGTAAGGGTCAAAACATGACTGTCCATATTCATCGAACGATTCATACGTTCAATTTATTTCCATCGGACAATGAAAATGACGTAGATGAACAGTATGTCGGCATCGTCACCACTCGCCTTTATATTTTGTTTTTATTCCTTGGTCTTCTCGTTCCTAGTTTTTATACTTCCTTTGCCGAACGTACTCATACATATACAGTTTCATATCCATCGCAAACTGAATTCGAACAACTAGAATCTCTCTACGCTTCAGTACTGGTTTGTTCGTGTACACGATTTTCGATGTCCTACAATCGGACTATGTCAATATCACCTCGTTACCATCAGATATGTTCAAGTCAATTTCTCGATGAGACTTGGTTGTCGTATTTCAATATAAAAGAAATTAAAGCGAATACGACATTCTTTCCCGTGATCGATTTTCGACATACGGGCGACTCAATCTTCAGTCTTCTACGCGTTTTATGCCAAGCATCAGAAGAGATAGTCAACAACGCTCTGCATCTATTCCGATCTCGTCGTTTAGTTACTGTCCACACATATTCACGTAAGCAATTTGAAAAGGAAATGCGAACGCGTTTCAAACAATTCGAACAACAAACAATAACATCGTTTGTTAATCTTCTCGAGTTGATTCGTTCATCGACTCAGACAAATCGTCTCGTGACAGAATTGTTGACAACGACAGGCTTTTCAAACTGGTTCAACAAGCAAACCGGACGATGGGAGCCGAGATTTTATTCGCGAAACATTGGCAACTGTTCATGTGCATTTTATTCTGATTGTCTTCGTCCACAAGGTTTCTATTCGCAATCGGATATCGTTGCGTCAGAACCAAAGATTATCGTACCTGGACTAGTTTTTGGTTGTTACATAATCGACTCACTCTTTCTCTCGACTCTCGAATGTTTCTTCGAGCAAACATGTCTTCAACTTCTCATTGACATGCGTCAATTCGATGCTATTGGTCTGTTTCATCCAGTAGATGAGCGTGTGCAAACGATTAAACCACTACATCATGAAAAGACTCGTTTTCTTCCTAATGCAAGTATACAATCGATAGTGTCACAATTGTTCATCGAAGATTGGAACAGCTCAACTAATTTCACCGCGTATTATACACGTTGCGCACCCAAAAGATGCACCTACACAAAGATACAACGTTTCGACAAGGCATATACGATTACGATGATGCTCGGTTTCTATAGTGGATTAAGTGCTGTCTTGGAAATAATTTTACCAACATTGGTTCGATTGATCATGAAACGTAAGAAAAAAGAAGATGATACATCGCAATCTACTAATAAGACGACAACTTTAAATCAATTTTATGATGTATGTCAATCAATGCGTTCGCTGAATTTATTTTCTACTAAAACATCGTCGAATGGTCATCAGGAAGTTGTTGCTACACGTATATACATTATTCTTTTCTCATTGAGTTTGTTCATTGCTTTCCTCTACGCTGGACCGTTCAGTGATGAAATTAAAACCATATTGGTTAAATTACCAACTGCCGATATCGTCAACAATCTGTATCGTAAGAATATCTCAACTTTGTCTTGTCCTTGTTCAACAGCAGCTATTCGACACTCAGAATTTCTCTCAATCACTCCACATTATCATTCCATGTGTTCAAGTATCTACGTGACACCATCATATTGGATTGAATTGGCACAAAGGGGTGACAAAATGTCAACGACACTCAGTGCTCATTATCGAATCTTAGCATCGCTTTGTCAATTAGCTAATCAAACTATCAGAAGTGCTCAAGATGTATTCAATACTCAAGAACTGATTACAATTGAACCAATGGCATATGCATCATTTCATGCTCAAACAGATGCACTTCTATCGACGTTTGTCGCTCAAATTCCAGCTAATTATCGTCGCACGCTTAACTTTATCATTCGTTCGTTTGCTGTTAATCAATTGTTTAACGTCTTTACCAGTAATTGGAAGCTTAATTATANTCAAACTATCAGAAGTGCTCAAGATGTATTCAATACTCAAGAACTGATTACAATTGAACCAATGGCATATGCATCATTTCATGCTCAAACAGATGCACTTCTATCGACGTTTGTCGCTCAAATTCCAGCTAATTATCGTCGCACGCTTAACTTTATCATTCGTTCGTTTGCTGTTAATCAATTGTTTAACGTCTTTACCAGTAATTGGAAGCTTAATTATACTTACGAAACTGAGCAACATATTATAAAAACATATCCACGACGATTCTCTTCCTCGAACTGTTCTTGTGCAACATCTTTCGATTGTATTGAGTCAGTAGCCGACGGGATAGTCAGTGGCTGTTTTCCATACGATGGTTTTCGTTTATCGAAGTTCGAAAATCTTTCCTTCGCTGAGATGAATGATCGTCTCTTTGTGACAACTTGGCAAAATAAGAGTAATTATACCGCTTATTTCGATCGATGTCGTCCGTTAGAATGTCAATATATGTTACCTGATCGAAACAATCCAAGTCATATGTTTATGACTATTTTGGCATTGTATGGTGGTAAGAAATAAGATGCTGTTTGGAGCAATGCTCAGAAGATGATTTTTTGCTGATATTTAAGGTTTGATCTGTACGTTTCGTTTGATCATCACTGAATCTTTGAATGTGTATCACTGGTGGTCGAAACAACATCAACAAGTGCAAATAGAATTGACCGAAATTCATTCCTAAGACATGATACTACTGCGGTTTTGATATTCTACGTTGATTTCAATGTTCGATGAGAACAGTATAGAAAAATTATCTTTATTAAAACTAATTTATGATAACTTTTGACATAAGAAAAGCATGTTGAATATCTCAATCGTCGGAAGCGACGACAAAATTGTTTTCCACATAGGTAGCTCGAGGAAACTGATACATTATTGGCTGTTTTTTTTTCTCTTGTATCACTAATCTCGGCTGTTCTTCGATGGTTATGTATTCGTTGGCTGGGCTCGAAAAACTCTGTTCATTTCGTTTACTAGATAAACACAGATGTATTTCAAATTTGCAGAAGTTCACACGTATTTACCTATTTGAATTGCAAGAACAACGGGACATGAAAATAATCGTAAGAATAATAACAACGATACATAAGAGAGCAATAATTCCTAGGAGAATTCGAATGAACGAATCCGTGTAGCAAAATTTCACTTTCTGAAATGTATTTACGCATATAGTTCGGGTAACACATCCATCTTCTTACCTGATTTTTTTCCGTGTTCAATCGAGTTAATTGGTCATCATTTGGTGGATCCATCAGTAATACTTGATGTATTGCCTTGCTCATCGTATTTGAATCGAATCAATGTGAAATAAAGGCTTGAAAATGATAAACGAAAGAAAAATAAACGTCTTTTTTTTTCTTAAGACATAAGCACAGATATGCATCTTTCTAGTTATGATTGTATACAATCATTACCTATGCTTTCTACTTGACAGTACGAAACGATAGAGATAGACAGATGCATTTGTGATATGATGGTAAACCTATTGAAAAGCAATATTACTTTATCGATCATCCGTCAGAGTAACGCACGTGTATTCTATGTAATTAAACGAAATGACATGTTCGCTCGAAAATGATATCTCTCAATATTTATTTGTATCTAAAGTATATAATTTCTTGACGATAAACATAGTTTGCAAGTGTTTCACTTCTCAAATACGTTTTGTTACACACAATATTTTAGTAGATGACTTAAAACATCATTCACATTTCAAAATATTATAATCATGTCGCTATAGTGGCGACATTGTACAATTTCATGGGGTTATATTTATAAAAAGAACGCATATATCATTCACATGATCAATTGCATAAACGAATCAGTAAAACGATGAACAGGAGAGACAACACTAGCGAGTTCGATCGATGTGCAAGCTTTTCATGTAGGTATGCCATCGAACATAAACTTGTTTAACATTAAAAAAATTTGTACTTTAAAATGAACTTTCCGAAAGATTCGATATGAATTATCTAATCGCGAACTTATTTTCTATCCAGAAACTAACAAATTTAGAGCTTTCGAGTTGAAGGTTCATTTTCATAACAGGCTCAAATGCTGGAAATGATCTGACTACATAGAGTGGGAATTTCTCAGTCGATGACTAGACAATCAATGACTGCTAGTCTTTACAAGGACCGACATATAACTCAATTAAAATTAGAGACAAATTTGAACAGATTTTCAAAATTAAAGTACCTAAAAATAACATTTATGGGAATATATAGAATATCTCACGATGTCATTTTTTCTCCGTTTAATAATTAACAATTGAAGAATTAAAAGACTAACGAGGGAGGCTCCCCAGGTGTTTAAGGCCTTTAGGTCTCATCTTTTGGCAACAAGTAGACCTCGATTAGGTTTGAAAAACTCCAAGAGGATTCGTGCCCTCGCGTCTTTATTGCAGAGTTATAGCCATTTTAGTGGAATTTCAGCCTTTAGCTCAGTGTGAGTCAATAAATCGAATGACATTATTTCGAGCTGAAATTTCGCCCATAGATAGCCATACTTGGGACTAGAATCCTCTGAAAATTTCAGCTCCAAAGAATGTTCTTTTCACGAGATATTCAATTCTTGAAAAACAAGACATTCACATTATACTGGTTAACTTTAAGAATTCAATATCTCGTGAAGGGAACATTCTTTGGAGCTGAAATTTTCAGAGGATTCTAGTCCCAAGTATGGCTATCTATGGGCGAAATTTCAGCTCGAAATAATGTCATTCGATTTATTGACTCACACTGAGCTAAAGGCTGAAATTCCACTAAAATGGCTATAACTCTGCAATAAAGACGCGAGGGCACGAATCCTCTTGGGGTTTTTCAAACCTAATCGAAGTCTACTTGTTGCCAAAAGATGAGACCTAAAGGCCTTAAACACCTGGGGAACCTCCCTCGTAAGTCGAATTCGAATATAAAGGAGGATTTCAATAGTAAATCTTGGTATAAAATTAATCTCAACAGCAGACATGCAACTCACTTGTTCGTGCACGGCAGGAATATGGTAGGGACTGATACAGGCTTCAAACTTACTGATACTCTAGATCAAAGTCAGCTGTTTTTGTCTCGTTATTCATGTACGTCTTATTGGTAAAAATCTATATAGTTTCCCATAGAATAGAATAGAATAGAATAGTTAAAAAGTAAACTGAATCAATTTGAAATGCGTGCAAAAGTTTGGTTCATTCATGTAGGAATATGCCCGTGTTCTTTTTGTTTTTTGTCATTGAATGAGCAGCGAACGGCTTAGTGGCATTTTCTCGAAACATTAAATTTTGATTTTCATTCAATTGGACAAGACTACTTTGAGGTTCACGTCCATTATGATATTGCGCATCGCCTAAACTCGTTTAGTTATAAGGATAATTTAGACAAAATATCTATTTTACCTGTTGAATTCAGTCTTCCAACAGCGAAGAGTGGATGATACTTAGCAGTCGGTGAAAGTGGTCTCAGTGTGTCGAGTTGTTTTAGCGTTTCAGGAGCAAAATCAGACAAACTGAATTGGCAGATAACATTACCATCGATAAATTTCGAAGGCAATGGTGTGAACACACCACCTTGTTCGGATCCAGCAGGTACTGGTGGATGATGACCTTCAGGATTTATGAATCGTTGTATGACAATGCTATTATTAGCAAATCGTTTACACACAAATACATGAGCTTCACCCTAAAGAGCAACATTCACATTTCGATATTTTGTATGGGATATTTCTGTTTGACATTTACCATAGACTGATTTTGTCCCAAACCCAACGCAGCGTATTGTGATGACTGAAGATTAGAAATAGTCATTCTAACCAATGTGACATTGACTTCGCGAATGAATACCCATGTCGCATTAACAGTTACATTGCTAGCTGGTGGAGGATCTCGCACGAAACTATTGAAGGTAAATCTTGCATTGAATGCAGCTATTTTGCCAACATTCAACGAAAGAACTATTAGTAGTGAAATGAGAATGTATTTCATCTATAAAGTGTAAAAAAGAACAACTCAGCTTCATAGTATCAACAGTACTAACACATACCAGCTTATTTCACGATGTGGTTTTGTTGATATAGATAAAAATCAAAGAGGTTCGTGTAAATATTCAGGTAGAATATTTAAAAGTTATTATATAGCATCTTTTTCTGTTTCATAGTACATTTTACATGTTGCAATATCATGCAGATCTACTGATAATGGGAGATAAATATAGAGATGCGCGTACTTAGCAAATCTTTAGTCATGATGATGCATGGACTGATAACTGAATTGCATAGATATTTACACAGTTCTGAAATCTCAGACGAAAGTTCTCTCGGATCATCAGACTAGAAAATAACTTTCTTTGAAAACACAATTTTTGACGACATTTCTCATTCTCATCTGCTATAATCATTTCGAGTGTTTTGACTACAAAGGAAAGGTGTATTATTTTCGTCTCAGTTCGATAATTACACTATTACAAACATGAGTAGAGAATCAAAACAATGCACGCATAGAACAAATTTGCTTGTACACGCGTGTTTATTCGAACACAATCGCATCACACCATAGACGGCAAGATAAATCAACACAATCCTTCGTCGAGCATTACAATTGACTTCTTTCATTTCTACCGTTGATCATGGATCGTGGAAATTACACTGATCGATTGCAAGCAGCATATAAAACACTTCGAATAATTGACATCGAAATGGAAACAATTCCGTATGAGAAATGTATAACCGGATTCGAAGACGAGCCAATTGTTTCTCTCGAAGAAGCAGTTAAGCCACTTTGGAAAATTTTACCAGCTGTTGACATGTTTGCATATGCTGCCAAACAACTATGCATAAAGCCACCGCCCGATGGACTGACCGTCGATGAGTCAGCTTCAGTTATGCTCTATTCAATGGGCTGGCAACCGCTTACCGAATGTGTTTTTCACGCATTAAATACTGCGGTAGGTGGTGCTCACTTTGAAGATATAGGACCTTGGTGTCCGTATTTGAAATTATTTCTTACTGCGCTGTCGCGTCTTCCACCTATTCAACGAACTGTGTATCGCTCAGTTGACGCTGCGATCGTAGAATTTTATGCCGGTGAAAAGAGCTTTTGTTGGCGAGGATTTACCGCATGTTCGAATTGGCGTGATGCTTTCCAGCCTGTATATACTGCGAGTGATGTGAAAAAGCGAGCAATTTTTTCAATTAAAGCTAAAACAGTGAGAGATATTAGTAAACATTGTTATCTATCTAAGGAAGACGAATTTATTTTCCTACCTGGAACAACATTTATCAACCATGGTTGTACCTATCAATCGGAAAATGAATGCGTCCTTAAAGTGGAAGAATACGGATCGACTGCATTGTTTAATTACAAATTTTTCGGTAAATACAAACAACAGGACGGTGAAAAACCAAGTTCTAAGATACCTTTTCTGTTTCTAGATGAAAAACTAGCAGTCGTGATTCCTGAAATGCAAGAAATTGATCCAGATTTTGCACGATACATCGAAGAACACACTAGTAAGAAAGAGCATCCACAAGAATCAGCTGCCACCGATTCTTTAACCACAGTACATGTCGATATGACCACAAAGAAAAAATGGATGCAAAAGGCTGAAACCGTTGCTGGAGGTGTCGGGGATGGACAGGGATTTAATCAATTGAGAAACCCTTCATCGATCTATCTTCACGACGATCAAACCTTGTATATCGTTGATGGTGACAATCATCGAATTGTTGCATGGAAGCCAAAATCAACAAGTGGTGAAGTAATAGTCGGCGGACACGATCCAAAAGATAATATGTATCGATTGCATAAGCCGGTGGATATTGTTTATGACAAAACCACACGTCGCTTTATTATTGCTGACTTGGGAAACAAAAGAGTTGTTCAATGGTCAATAGGAGATACCGATGGGAAAAGTTTTATAGACAACGTTCGATGCACTGCTCTAGCAATTGATAATCATGGGTATCTTTATATAGGTGATGAAGACGACGGTTCTGTTCGTCGATGGACAATGAACACTAACGATGAAACAAAGAAGGAAAAAAGTGGATTGGTGTTTTTTCTAGATTCTGAAAGAAACGAAGCAAGATCGTGTGAAAGGAATCAAATTGACCGCGTTACAGTCGCTGGTGGACATGGACGAGGAAAAGGTTTGAGTCAATTGAGTAATCCAAATCGTATTTTTGTTGATAATGATCAAACCGTATACGTATCTGACCGAGATAATCACCGAGTAATGAAATGGACAAAAGATGCTACAGAAGGAATTGTTGTAGCAGGTGGCCACGGACAAGGAGATAGTCTCAAACATGTATCAGATCCTCAAGGAATCTTTGTTGATCGATCAGGTGATGTTTATGTAGCTGATGCTATCAATAATCGTGTTGTTTGTTGGCCCAAAAATGCTGAACAAGGATACGTCGTCGTTGGTGACAAAGGCGAAGGAGCACAAGCGGATCAACTCTATTGTCCACAAGATATTACATTCGATCAAGAAGGAAATCTGTATGTTGCCGATTCGCGCAATCATCGAATACAAAAATTTAATCTTGATAAAAATTAACGCTTTTGAATCTTGCTCGTATTTTTTGTGTATCAGTCATGTGTTCAGTATTGTTCCTTCTTCATTAAAATTAGTCTATTAACAATTTAACTGTATTCTGCTTCTTGAATGGAAATGCGTATATGAATGAGGAAGTAACATAGAACTACAATTCGAAACGAATGTGAGTTATAAATCGGATAGTTGTCCATTACGAAGCGGACTAAATTCTCATTTCTATATATGGAACAAAATAACCGATTAGAAAAAGTCAAAACTTTCGAAGCGATTCCATACAGCCTGGTAGAAGTGCAATTGCAAGTTAACGCAATGATACGATGACGAGGGTGATGGAGCTGACCAATAAACGTTTACGTTCCTTGAATTGTAGATGAAAGATTTTCTCGATCGCTGGTAGATTGCACAAATGATTCTAACAGCGAAGAATATATTGATAGCGAAAGGATAAAGATGAAATATTTTAGAAAGAAAGTTGCAGTAACGGAAACAGATAGAACTGAAGCATCAAGTAAATAAATTCCACAGGCATTATCGTGCGTTTTTTCATTTTGAATGAGGTCTAACGAGAGACCAAAATCTTTCGACGAAAATTGACAACGATTACCATGGAAACATTCGACGCAGCCGCACGTGAATAATGTTGGCCATGCAAACTCATTCTGAAAGCATCGATCTGGATTCTGACAAAATTTATATACTTGGTAATCGTATGTCGTGTGTCTAGGGAAAACGAAACAATTGAGAACGCGATTGTATTCACAGAAACATAGATAAGGTTCATAATGTAAACCATTCAAACCAAGTCATTGTTGGAAGACAATTGGATAGTGTTTAATGCGACGAAGTGGATAACGTTCGGTGATATTCATGGGAAAAGTTCAACAATTGATCGACATCGATCCGAAGGCTTAATAGTTTTCTGATGTTTGTGCCGAGAAAATCGTTCTCTTGCTGATAGAATAGATACCGTGAATCAAATACTTCAACAAAATTCAAATGAAAGATCGAGGTGATATATAATTACTGATTTCTCATCGATTGGAGTGCTTTCAAATACTGTCGTTCGGCTTTCGAGGGTTTCGTCATAAGCCGTAATGAAATGAAAAAGAATCGCCGGTGGAATAGGGGTATTCTCACGAGAGAAACTTCTATTTTTCTATCATACTTTTCACATCGTTCGCCCGAATAACCATTGGCACAGATATAGATAGGTTTCACGTCTTCATGGCATCCGCTCATCACTAAAAATGCAAGTATCTCCATTCGTACATGTATGATTTAAGCAAGATTCCTGTTTTAAATAACATCGAGGGCCAAACTCCTTTGGTGGACAAGCACATATTGTGCGATTGTTCACTATTCCAACTAATCTGGGATCTGGTGAGCAACGAAATTTAGGAGAAAGACTTATCAGATATCTTGCGCCTGACTACCCATTGCCACATTATAGATCGATGAAACATATCCACTCGTACAGCGTAATTCTTTTCAATATCTGTTGGTCGAGTAGAATATGGGAGATTCTAGTGATATTTTTTACTCCAGTCTCATGGAATGATCAATCAATGTGATCGGACAATTCAATTGTTTGATCTCCATGTTTGATAAGACAAAAATAATGGTAAAACCTGTTCTCTCAAAACCATTTATATGTATTATTATTTCCGTCAGTAACATGAAGTCGTAGAAGCTGAAGACAAAGATAAGTTTATGCGATGAGCAAATGGAAAGTAATTTCAAAGTGGAGTTCGTGTACTTCTAAAACCGCATAGAAAGATTTCTCCTTCTGATAGACTATATAGATTCCGGAGTCGGGCAAATGTGTTCTAGTTCTGCCATGTAATTTTGACAGAATCATTCATCATCACCAAACAAACAGTCTTGCAATGCATCGATTCTGCAAATTTTCGGGAAGAAAATGTATTTTTCTCGTTGCTTGTTGGATCAAAAGTTTATGTAGTCAATGAGAGAGAGTGTGTCTGATATTTCTATCATTAAACAAAATGAAGTTGCTTTTTTTTCATCTTCTTCATCCGGACAATCTTAAAATCCATCAAATGTATGAAAAAGTACAACACATTTGTTACTGTTCTTCGCTGAACACCTGAGCCTGTATTCACTTTTCATTCAACATGCATCAGCCAATACACCATCATTTGTGGGACAATTTCTTTGACCATCCACAAGACGATGTTGAGAAATGCATTCTGCCGAATTGCTACAATTATATCCTTCAGAGTACTGGCAAATTTTTTCATTCTCAGATCGACGTTTCGATATACATACTTCAAATGTATATCGAACATTATATAAGATGATACGGCACGAAAAGTAAGACTCGTCTTTATATCGGTTCTAGACAGTGATCTTTACAATTGATTTGTAGCAATGCTTCGGAATCGATTTTAGTGACACACACCATAGCTGACAAACATTCAGGATTGAAGGTTTGTCGAAGACATTGCTCATCTATATACCCAAACTTCGGCTCGTCTATTATTGCACACTTCCGTCTTTGATCCGGCATGCATACCCGGTCTTCACATCGCATAGTATACATTGTAATACGTTGAAAAGATTCGTATTTTCGTCTGTTTAGTCAATACATTCTGGTCTGTTTCTATCATCAAACAGATGTTCCTCTGATATAGACTGAGCATTATAGCACGACTATTCATTCGTAGCACATTCATGTATCTCCAATTTCCTTTGAAGCAATCTACAGATCATCAGATTTCTCACCAATTGATGCACAATAGATCTGGTCCATGATTACAGTTCAAATGTACGTAGCGAGTAAAACTAGCGTTTTCTTTGTATTTGAGTTGTGATTCAAACGTATACTCGCATAATGCACCAAACCAAGGCAACGTAAAATTGTAAAAGTATAAGAATTGATGCTTGGTATTCGATGGATTACTCAAATATAACTCGTATTCGTCAGCTGTATTGATTGGTGTCGATCATAGATGCAATTCATAACTACTAATTCGTTGTGAACGTAACTATTCGAATGCGAATATCGACCCTCGCGGATCTGAAAACGCGTTGCTGACGCCGATATCGTGCTTATCGATCGATCGCTGACACATTGAGAATTTAAGACAAATCAGTCGAAAGAGTAACATCATTTGTCGCAGTGTACGAACGTGGAAGGAAGGAAATGTAATGACAAGTGTTTTATATTTATTATAAATATAGTGTGTTTCAGAGAGAAAACTAGGAACACATATTCCAATATATCACTCGTTATTGAAAGTTGGAAATGATGAAGTTTTAATATAAGTTACTTTTTCTTGTCAGTTGATTGACATTTGTCCACATAAATTGAGATTTTGAGTGCGGGTAGACGAATATTCAGTTGTCAGTTATGAAACAGAGAAAAAAAATTGTTGTCGTTGTGGCATAACATTTGCTTGTCTGACGGCTTCTATTTCACTGGACTTGTTACGTCTAATGCTTGTATTTATTTGAAGAAATCTTTGTCGATCGTACTTATATAAATAATTAAAATCGAATATCAATGTGAATACAAATTTATTCACTGGACAAACATTAACTTCACTATAGTTATCGATCATTGAAGATGACGGTAAAAAGATCTTGAAGCCATTGCCACTTATATACGATCCATTAAGTGCTCCGTTTATGTAGATCAACTGCTGTTCAACTAACGATTGATGTCGTTCTTGACCAACATAGATTACACTTTCTTGATTGTATTTCATTCCAAGGTTCATTATTTCATATATTTGCTCGATCGTATTGTTGAATAACGAAACGAAGAAACTCGTCTCTTCGATGCCGTCGTAAACACCTCGTATAGTTGAGAAAAGATAGCCATGCTCTAAGAGATCATTCTGTAGTTGTTCTCGCCGACAATTGATAGCACTATCCTCAAGATCGAAATCGTAAGGATCGTACGAATTTCTTCCAGCGCTGAGTATAGCATAACCGCCGTGATTGAGAATATACGAGAAAGCTTTTGATGTATATGTGGGTTCTGTAGAAGAAAGAGAAAGTTTTTCAAAATATTGTATACCTTCAGTAAATGACTGTGTTGAGTTTATAATGAGAAAGAACAGGAATAGAATGAACATAAACTGTCACTATGAGTTCAACTGTATGATATTACAAAATCTAATTATGATTATGACAGGTATCTGATTCAGTATTTAGCTGGCCTGATCCCATTGGATCAGAATAAACCGATAAGAAAATAAAACTGCTTTAACGCAACGAAATGGCTGTAAAATCACATAGGAACATTAACAAAAATATGGAATCATGTGGATACGAACGCAACATCGTGAAAAGTTCAAATGATACTGAATGTACTAAGACGATGGTGACATCTGGTTTGAAAAAAGCTTTCGCTGTGACTCAAAAAGAACATAAACAGTCACATATGCGTTTAAAAAAAAGACGACTTTTTCAATGACAGAGAAATGGTTCGTGTCCTTGCTGAACCATGGCGCGAACCTGTAAGTCAAGCTAACTGACGATGACTATACACACCCACACCCACACCCAAACTCAGTTAAGCTGGCTATGATAATATCTATATATCAGGGATCTATAAACTTCATCAGGTAATAAATACCCTTATAAAATCAAATAACTTTTAAATCAAACCGTGTATTCTATGAATTTTTTCTTTCAGTTTTATTTTTTGCGTTAAATGAACATACATAGTTGGAAATTGGATGAGTATCTCCCTCTCTCTCTCTCATATAATGACACGATCTACACGACCACGAGAGCAGAATACGTATTAATAGAATAGATAATTCATAACTATTCGCGTCTAAATACTCAGTTATATGTTATTGGAATAGAAAAATTTGTCTTTCTCTTGAAGAATGTCAACATAATCGAAAAGCTCACCTGTACTCGTATATACATGTGAATCAATTCTTATCAGTAAGTTTCATTACTCGGTTATGTTAACGGTGGCGCACGCGACAAAAATATGGTCAATATCGACGCTGCTGTAATTCTTTTTTATTCTTCAATATTCATTCATCACAATGATATCCGAACAACAAATTTTATTATGTTTTATAGTAAATAGTGTTTGACAGTATACAGATAAAGATATTTTTATTGGAAAAAACCCTAATCAAATGAGAAGAAATAAGATTTATGCAATTATTGTCGCCGGTGCATATTCTGGTTGATTTCTCTGATGACGATGATGCCATACGACGATGAATGCAACGAAAATAACTATCAAAATGATCGAAGTAAACCCAAGGAGATATGTTCTCTTCGATTGATGTTTATTGGCTAAATGTTGTTTTTTCTTCGATGACTTTCGACGCGATAATCGTGAACGATTCTGACGACGTGACCAACTTACAATTGGTTTAAAATAATCTACTAGGCTTCCTGTTTCTTTCCAAACAAGTCGAAATGTCGATTCATCGTTACAATTATCTCTCGTACAAATATACTGAATTGCCTTATATTGAATCGATCGAAATTCCATACTTTCCATCTTCATTGACAAATCAACCGTCGCCAAATCCGACTTATCTATGCAACCAGCACCGAGAATACTAGAATTTCTCAGTCCTGTATATTCAGCAATACATTTACCACTGGAACAAGTCGTTGATCGGCCGGCAACATCACATCTACTGGAATGATTACCGAATGTCAAAAGATAAATCAGATTCATTTGTATGACATCATATTTAATGTCAACTAGCCAAGGAAGCCATTTCTCGACAAACAGTCGATCGCATAGATCATGTGTTGAACAGATAAAATCAATTGTGCTAATAATCGAACCGTTTCCTTTCGTTAGGGGAAACCAAATTTCGAAACTAATCGAATTATTCACTGCATGATTGATCGCCTCATCAAAATCGACGGTTACATTACCATTGGTCAAATTGGAATCGATATAAACAGTGACATGACACACATTGTTCTTTTTGTGTGCATAGATCGTTTTGTTTTGAAGTTGTTGTAATGTACTTGAGTGAATAGTGGAGAAGTGTTCATTTCGGGATATTTCGAGTGAATTGTTGGCGATACAGATTAATGAATAGATGTTTTGGAAGGCGATGAAAAGGATTATGGTGGAAATTAACATATTCGTGGTCCAGTTTTTCTTTTATGACACGTGAAGAAAGACAATGAAGGTAAAAAAATGACATAATAGACAAGTGCATACATAAAAGTATGAGAGATAAGAAAGCAAAGAGAGAGAACAGCCTGATTTTATTAACAGAAACGAAAGGTAAATGTGAACGTAGAAATCTCAAGCTACAGAAACTAAATCAAGTATATGGTTTATTGTTTTTGTCTATAAAACTTTAATTGTAATCGCGACTGAATAGTTGTATGCGATGATTTCCACTATCGAGAACGTAAAGATTATCATTCCGATCGAACAAAAAATCTTTTGGATATCGCAATTGATCCGCTGCATCACCTTCGCCATTACCACCGGCAACAATATATCCTTGATCGTCTCCTTTTAGCCAACAAATGATTCGGTGATTATCTGTGTCAGCTATGTAGACATTTTCTGAACTATCAACGAATATCCTACGAGGATTCGCCAATTGGTCAATCCTACTTCCTTCTCCATTGCCGCCAGCAACAAGAACTCCTTCTTTTGCACCTTCTGACCATTTCAGTACTCGATGGTTATTCGTATCTGATATATAAATTGAAAAATTCGGATCGAGAAACACAGAAGTTGGATTATTGAGTTGATCGAGTCGTGAACCAGGTGCATTTCCACCCGCGAAGCTTGTTCCATGACGCGTATTGATTTTCCAACGTGTGATTTCACTTTTTCGATCGTCCGAGAGATAAAAATATCCATTCTTATCCACAGTCAATCGCTGCCAATCGAAATTCGAAAAAAGTATTTTTCCTTGCGTACCACCTTGTCGTGACCATTGAATGATTCGTCGATTACCAGCATCGCAAATATCTATGTGGGTTTCATCAGGATCTAGAACAATGTCAGATGGTCTTTCCAATTGATGCACACCTTTACCGCCTTCTACATCACCAGCAATGGCACGACCTCGTCCACCGCCACATTTCCATTTCATAATACGATTATTACACGTGTCAGCGATGTAAAACATCTTATCCTTGTCCATACAAAAGCTGACAGGCAGAAATAATTGATTTAATTCTTTTCCAAGACCATTTCCTCCAGCAACAGTTGATCCGGTTTTCACCCATCGTTTTCTTTTTAACATTGCAAAGAATTGAAGTATCTGCATCCTGGAGAATTCTAACGGTGCATGAGCAACGGTTGTTGCCTCTTCCTTTTCTGCTGCTTTCGCTGTGAAATAGAGAGAAACAGCAATTTTTCCATGCGAATAAAGAAGCGATCCATACTTACTAGTGGCTAGTTTATCCAGAATCGATGGTGGAGAGATCTCTTCTAGCTCGTACACACGAAAATTATTTCCTTGATCGAAATAACCCTGACATTTGAATTGTGTACCAGGCAACAGAACGAATTCATCATCTGATTTATAAGTAGAATGATTCGTAATATTTCTTGCACTTTTACACTTGATATTGAACATGATTCGATCTGCTTCGACATGCGAGAAGTTCCATGATGTCAAAATATTCATCAGTGTTGAGCAGGAAGTAATTCCCCGCCATGTATAAGTTTCACCAACAGTGTACTGTTCACAAAGATTACTTTTCAATCCACAATAGATATTCTTTTCGACTGGCGGAAGACGAGCAAGAGCAGTCAATAAAATTTTCAGATACGAGTACCAAGGTTTGAGTTTCTCTCGATCTTTCGAACGCAGAGCTTCGTTCAAACCCACGTACAAGCATTCATTTAGTGGCGACCATCCGGTGGTGTAGAACATAATGGCAGCTGATTCATCGACAGTTAAGCCATCGGGCGGGAGTTGTGAACAACGGTACTTGAGATACAATGCAAACTTACGTATCATTGGTGACCATGCACGAAGTGGCTCTATGGAATCTTCAAGGGAGACGATCGGTACATCTGCTATGTCGTCGATGGATAGAAGATTACAAAGCGGCTCATTTTTAGCATCGAGAATGCGAATATAATGATATCCTTGATGAGCACTTTCTTTTTCATCGGCTCGAATCATGACGCAGAAATCTCTTCAGCTAATTATCGATGATCGCACGATGTACGTGAATGTGATCAAAACATACGAACAGTTGTTTTCTGTTTTATCTTATTATCCCTGAAATTATTTGATGCGAGTATAGCCAACTCACGTGGTGGAGAAAATCAAGATTTATGCACTGTTTTTTCTTTCTTTTCTTTGATTGCTACAAATTTTATATGAATTATATACAATCTGTATACGATACAAACATCACGTGATCAATGAACTGAAACGTAAATAATACTTTCATATGTCCTCAGCGAGCGGAAAGGATACAGATACTTCTAACAAAACTTTCGTTTTATATTATTCTTAAATAATTCGAAAATCGAAAATATAATTCTATGTAAATAACTTCAATCTATAAAACGCAAGATATAAGCGAATGATAAAGAATATAAATAAGACATTTCGTGACGATAAACGATTGGTAACATAATCAGTGCAATGAATTAGAATTCATTTTCGCGTTGAAGGATTATCTTGACTTGCAGGGATTTTGAGTTTTAGAATTTTCGAGGTACAGTCGCAGGTAAAACACGAAAAAGACAAGAATCGCAAACTTTTAAGATGTAATATAAGTAGATGTTTTACTTATTATAATATTTTGTATTAGACGTACAAATATTTAACAATACACCTTATACTACCGTGATTTTTCGAAGTTTATTCGTTACTTTTGCAAAATCATGATGGCCTACTCATTTTCCATCGCTTATAAGAAGTTGATCCTGTTTTATTAATTTTGTTGTAGATATTGTGGAATATAATCGACTATGATTGGTTATTATTCAATATACGTAGCTATTATTGCTCTTGTCCTTCAAATCAGTGGATTTCCAACTGGAAACGTATGTGTATTAAGTATACTTAAGTGATAAAATTTGACTGATTTCTTTGTTTTTGAAGAAAACTTATTCTAAACTGAAGAGACCCATTGGGAATCGTAAGTCATTCCTTTTCGAACTGATCGGATCAATTATTTACTATTTTAGCGCAATTAATCGAAGGTGATATGCTTTTTCATCCTGCACTTCAATCAGTGCCCGTAATTGCACTTTTCTGTCTGTTTCACGAAAAAGAAACATTATCTATTCATTTCCTTAGCGTGGAGTAGCAGTTCGTGACACTGGAGTTATTTGGACAAATGGAATTATTCCATACCAAATCGATCCCAATTACAGTAACTAAACACCCACCCATGTATTTCATCAAGATTTCTACATCTCTATTTCAGCACCTGAGCGACAAGCACTCATTGTCAATACCATGCGAAAAATGGAACGTCTCGTTGCTATCAACAATGTTGTTTGTATCCAGTTTCGACCGAAACAGTCATCTGATCGTTATTTTATTGAAATAGTTGATGGATTGGGTTGTTCATCATATGTGAGTGACTACAGTGGTATTTTATTTACTTAGAATATTACTGTAGGTCGGACAAAGTATTCACGAGATGTCGTCGCATATAGTAACGCTGAACTCGTCTAGCTGTTTTATGGAAGGGATGATTATTCATGAGTTATTACATACATTGGGTAGAATATTGCTTTTAAACAACATGATAATAACGCGTGCATTGCTAGGTTTCTATCATGAACAATCAAGACCGGATCGTGACAATTACATTCGAGTTCTCTATGGAAATATACTCACAGGTACAGAATTCAATGATGTTAAGAAAAATAGCATTGATTTACGTATCTTTCCATGTCATTTGTATAGATGAACAGAGGAATTTTGAAAAATACGACAATAAGTTTCTGAATACTTTCAATACATCATATGATTATTCATCTATAATGCATTATGGACGTTATGTTTTCTCTTCGAACGATCTTCCCACCATCGAACCACTACAAGCGAATGTTATCATTGGTCAACGCAATAATATGAGTTCAACTGATATTCTTGAAGTTCGATTATTATACAACTGCTCAGCTATTGGTGTGACACTACCTGAGATTAATATTACAACAGCACGTAAGTAGACAAAGAAATTGGAATTAATAGTTTCAGTAAATACAACAGTACTATCAGCATGGACGACAAGCAGTCGAAGATATAGTCACATAGTGCTTCAGTGTCACGCACTTACTATGAAGTGTGCAAAGTAACCGTACCTATCGACAGTTCCTATTTATTTATGAGTAAAAGCAAAATCAATACATACGGCTACTTGTATGGGAGTAGTTTCACTCCAGTTTGTATTAAAGATAATATAATAGCAGAAGATGATGATAGCGGTAGTAATTATTAGTTTCGATCAGCGATTGTTCTTCAGTCTAATCTAACTTAAGCTTTGGTCGCTACAACACACTAAGAAAATACTATCGAAGAGTGCCGCTTGATTATATCTCGATGTGCAAAAGTAAATATTACTCACACTGAGGACATGTTAGCTATATACTATACTGTAGTTTCACAACGAGTGGTGAGGATAGTTATGTGCTGACAATTAGTTCACTCTTTTTCTCACTTTAGGACCTGGTACAACCCTTCCCAGCCCTGTCGTTTCAAGCTATTCAAATGCGTTAACACGCCATTCTTTGATGTACAATCGAGATGACGTTATGAATAAATATTACTATGATGCAGTTAATATAAATGTACCTGTCACCGGTACCTATCATTTCAAATGCATTAGCAATATTGATACTTTCGGTTATCTCTATATGAATGAGTTCGATCCAGAATATATTTCGAATAATCTTATTAATAAAAATGATGACGATGGAAAAAATGCGCAATTCCTAATTTCACATACGTTGTACTCGTCTGTGACTTATATCCTGATTAGTACCACATCTAACCCTTATACAACCGGCTCTTTCGCAATCGAAGCAGTTGGACCAGCTGCAGTTAATTTTAATACGATACGGATTAGTTCATCGTACAATCGACTCGTATATTCATGGTTATTTACAACTAGTAAGTGTTTACCACATTTTGTTTGAATGATTATGTCCTCTTTTTCATCGTTAGCATTCGTATTAATCAACTTTAATGCGGCCAGATGGTGAATGAACTTTTAATTTGTTAATTTCAGTAAATTGATTTTTCTAATTATAATACAAATAAATGGACTTCACTGTCAACTAGAAATATAATGAATCTCTGATTTTATTGAATGCACTGGTTTGTCGAGAACTATGTTTTGAAAAAAAAAACAAAATCTTTGTTAAATATGATTCACTAGATCAAAGTGAAAATGAAAGTTCGCTTTGTAATTTAAGTAGAGGCCCGCTTATGCTAAGTATTGAATTAGTTAGTCAAATATTTACTTCATAGCTCATATGTTTTGAAAACGTGATTTTGAAAACTTTTCGATTACAAGGCATTGAAATATAATATGTATTTTTCGACTGCACCATCTTCTATCACGATCTGACACCGTTAACTGATTCAATTTTGATTATGTACTACGTAATATGTGCATTAATTTTACTTTATATCACCATCTCCATTCAAATCAATGGACATCCGATTGAAAAGGTCTGTGCAACAAGGTTCATATGACTATTTTATAAGAGACAACGATTGGTTTGTATTTTCATTTTTAAGAAGAAAACGCCATCAAATTTGAGCAAACCAGATGAGAATCGTAGGTGATGCTTTTCTGAATCTAATAAGATCAATTGTCTTTATCTCAGCAGAATTAGTCGAAGGTGACATGCTTTTTCATTCGTCATCTCACCTCAATTCGGTAATTGATTTTTGACGATTTTCTTGAATCAAATGTATGTGATGTTATTTTTTTTTAGCGGGGAGTTGCACAACGTGGAGTTATTTGGACAAATGGAATTATTCCATACCAAATCGATCCCAATTACAGTAACTAAACACCCACCCATGTATTTCATAACAATTTCTACATCTCTATTTCAGCACCTGAGCAACAAGCATTCATTGTTAATACCATTCGAAAAATGGAACGTCTCGTTGCTATCAACAATGTTGTTTGTATCCAGTTTCGACCGAAACAGTCATCTGATCGTTATTTTATTGAAATAGTTGATGGATTGGGTTGTTCATCATATGTGAGTGACTACAGTGGTATTTTATTTACTTAGAATACTACCGTAGGTCGGACAAGGAGGAGCATCATTCCATCAAGTTTCATTGGAATATCCCAAATGTTTCACTGAAGGAATGATTATGCACGAATTATTGCATACACTAGGTAACATCTATTATTTCTCTGTAAAGATGACTCACATTGATTAAGAAAGAATTTTTAGCTACTTATTATCTTTAGGTTTCTATCATGAGCAATCGAGACCTGATCGTGATAATTACATTAGAGTTCTCTATGAAAATATACTAATAGGTGAGCAGAAAATCGTTAGGATATTGCTTTATTTGTTTCTATAACATAGAAAAACGACACGAATTTGAAAAGTATAATGATACATTTGTGGATACTTTGAATACATCATATGATTATTCATCACTGATGCATTACGAGAAAAATACCTTTTCTCAGAACGGTCTTCCAACCATCGAACCATTACAAGCGAATGTCACCATTGGTCAACGTCATATTATGAGTTCAACTGATATTCGCGAAGTTCGATTATTATACAACTGCTCAGCTATTGGTGTGACACTACCTGAAATAACTACTACCACACCACGTAAGTAAACAAAAAAAGTAAATCGAGATTTTGATTTACAAGTGAAGTATAGAAAATCAATATTCAGTAAATACAACTGTACTATCAGCATGGACAACAAACAGTCGAAAGTACATTCGACGTAGTGCTTCAGTGTCACACACTTACTATGAAGCATATCGAGTTACTGTACCAATCAACGGCTCCTATATATTTACAAGTAGCAGTAAAGTTGATACTTATCGCTATTTGTATTCGGATAGTTTCTCTCCTGTCGATACCAGACAGAATTTGATTACAGAAGATGACGATAATGGTGGTAACAGCCAATTCAGATTTGAAACTAATCTTGAAACTTATCGCGCGTATATTCTGATTGCTACAACATATCGAGAAAATACCACTGGAGAATATCGTCTGATTATTTCTGGTTTAGCAAGTGTGAATATTACTCTCATTGACGATGCATCGACAACACTTGTTTCTAGTGCCACAACTAATGGTAAGTAGACAACCATTTGCCATGTTCTTTTCAAATCGATGCGTTTCTTGCTCTCTATGTACATATAGAATATGCTACAGCATCTTCAAAAAATGTTTTATCATGTTATGATGGTGAATTAACTACCGACCTTGTGATATATAATCGAGAAAACATCTTCGGCATCTATTACTACAACGCAATTCAAATCAATGTGCCCATGAGTGATAACTATGTTCTCATAAGTTCTAGCGTAGTCAATACTTACGGTTATCTGTATATGAATTCTTTCAATCCACAAGATATGTCTTCCAATCTCCTTGCCAAAGATGATAACAATGCCGATAATAAACAGTTCTCAATATCATATAAACTATACTCCAGTATCACTTATATTTTAATTACCACGACGTACAATTCTAATGTGACGGGGAATTTTCGCATAGAAGTACGTGGTCCTGCTGAAGTTACCTTTAGTGCTCTCAAGCAAAGTTCTTCGACTACTCGACCCACATCATCTCCAAGTACTAGTCGTGGTGAGTCTTCTTGTTAGTATCACAACTCTAACTTTCATTTGAATTGTCATTTTCTCCAGCATCTTCGCCTGTTCAACTAAATGTTAGTGTGATCTATTTTATCAGTCAACTACTAGCTTCGTACGCGATTACACAACTGTTGAGAGTACATTGAACGTTTTCTTATCAAATTTATTTCTGTTTTTTCACATTAAACTTGAGTTCGGATGCTTATCAAATGAGGTTTTTCATCAGTAAAATCGTGCCCAAAATACACTTGAAATTTTTTATGGTCTATAACATTTCTCCAGATCCAATGGATAATCAAATTCATAATCAGGAACTTGACCCGTAATCCAATTCACAAATTTCGTCACACTTGTTGAGACCAATTTTCCTGTATTGATGTCATATAGTTTAAGCGTCAATTTAATTGGCTTTTGTTCCGACTTTTTCACATACAATCGCTGCACATAACGATAGTGAGGATATGTTCTATTAAATTCCACTCTCCATGTCAGACAAGTTCCATCACAATCGCTATCAAATATCAGTTCATCATAGTTCTTCGCTTCACCACCAAATGATTGTACCAAATTTGGCCAATAATTCATTTCTGTAGAAGGGCCACCTCGATTGGCGATGCATTGGGGCGGTTTTGACATGAAATCAAACAGATAAGTGCGACCATCGTCACGAACGAAAATATTCTGGTTTCCACCAAATTCTTCGTCACCAGTATTCGAATACCAGAGACGAGAGATTTTTCCTGTTTGATTATCGACAGCTAAACGTTCTTGCAGTATGCCATCTGTAGAGAGACTAAATCGATATTGGCTTGGATTTGGAATTTGAGTCGATATGCAATTGAGTGTGAAGAGAATAAAGAATAAAATCGTGAGTGAAATCATACTTTTTATTATTTTGCAGCAACGCAAACGATTTAAATATAAAACACGATGAGATGATTGACAGATGCTCTTACCCCATACAGAAAAAGTGCAAAAGAAAACTTAAAAAAAAACTGCTATGTCAAAAAGTAGTGTGACCTCTTTCGTTTTTAAAACTATGCAACTATCTCATTATCTTCGGATTTAGGATTATCTCTTTCACTAGATTTTGCATTCGAGATTTTAGAACAGAATCCCCATCGGTTCAAGTATCTTTTCGCAGCATCTATCTGCCAACATAAGACTCCAAATATACGATTATATTAACTGGCTGTTAGCAGTTCATGTACTTCGTTTAACCAACAATTCAATGCATCTATGCTAACAGAACATGATCGTCCGGTGATAGTTGTTTATTAAGAAATTGTTCGAACTCTTTCGCTTGTTTGATCGGATTGAATGGTACAACTGAAAACTGATCCGTGCCTATCGTTGACGCTAATACTATGTAGTTTATCCATTCCAAAACAAGCAACATCGTGTTTTCATCCGTCACATCCGCTGCACTCGATGCTGTCAACAAAATATTATAAGGATTTCGATCTGCATTTTATATGATGCGATAGAATACATCCATTGCGATCTTATTATTGGATCACTCATCAGAATATTTCTTATGTGTCTCGGCAATTCGACTAACGAGATGATTTTTTCATCTTCTTGCCAAAAAGTCGACATGTAAAGTAGCAAAGTTTTTCTGATAAATCGCAATTTGAACTTTGTTTACCGGTAGACCCATCGTCCGTCCTAACGCGTAAACGATCCATTCGCATGCAGTACATATAACAAGATCTTGAATTTCAGCTAGGATTCTTTCGTTTTGAGGATTCAGCCTCGTGAGCATATTTCGATTTGGCAAATAACGAAGCAGTTTAAACTGTACCTTCAAGCATAGTCTTAACAGGACTTTACATGAGAGCAATCATATTGTTGCAGACATGAACGTTTTGTTTCCGCTTAGCGGTGGCTTCTGAGCTGATGAATTCTACCACTTTTATATTTTCAATTGCTTCGATGTATTTTTCATTGACGACATTACAGGAACCATGAAGTTCATTATTGTGTAAATCCACAGTGACAGAATTCATCTGTTTGGACAGAAGATGACTTATTGTAGGTGAGTTATCCGATTGCAGCTCAATATTTGCGATGGCTGGTTGTTTGCTTCTTGTAACTTCATTCAAGGTAGGTACGAACTGTTTAACAATTCTTTTCAAACTTGTCATGCTTCTTCCAATATCAGAATCCTGATTGACGTTCAACTGATTTTTCGTTAAATCTTGCAGTTTTTCTTCTATTTCGTCCGTCATTGCTTTGATTTCATTTAACTTCATCAGCAGATAACTGTAAGATGAATGATTTCAATGTTTTGGGTAGCTTAACATAGGTTGACGGCGTATATTCCTGAAGTTTTCGTCCAAAATTTTCTTGTTTCTTCGTAGCTGATCATCATTTTCAAATGTACCATTATCTTTTCAACAGGTTTGAAACGAATTGAGTAAAAGTATAAAGTTGCGTAGCGAATCTATTTCTAAATATTTCTAAGAAAAAGAACTGTTCGTACATACAAGGCTATTGTCGCCTACCTTTATACTCAATAGAAGCAAATGATTAAGTTCGATATGAAAGTGTAGATTCAACCACTACACCTCATCATATTTCTGATGACGAAAGGAGAAATATACGAGTATTCAAACTACACACAGACAACAAACAAAACCGTTCGTTTCTTCTTTCATGTGTATTTGAGTTAAGGATGAATAAAAATAAATTTGTGCAGGCTCTATTGGTCTTTTAAAAATACGAGTCATATCGAAACATAACATGTGGTGTGCGCTTGATGAGTCAAAGAAGGATACGGAATGAAAGTCAAGGTTTAGTCTACATAACATTTGATGATCGTTTGTTTATCGATTGTTTGGAAACCATTTGGACGTTGAAATTGTTGGTTGACGTAGTCAATTAGATGATTCATCTGTTCGTCATTCATATTCTCTCGAGAAAATAGTGTCCACAGTCGATTTTCGATGAGATATATCCAGTCTTCGGCTGTGATACTATTCGGAGGATATTCGAATGTAAATGTTTCTTGTTCAATTCGTTTGAAGCCGGCTTGTTGTAATTCATCGAATAAAGTCACAAGATTATTTCCTTTTTGAAATAAATTTTCCGTTCGTTCATCAAATGGAAAGAGCTTTTCACCAACTGGACCACGAATAATCAACAGCCGGCCATGTTTAGGCTTAAGTTGTTGATAGAAACCTTTGAAAGCATTCGAACGTTGTTCAAATGTTAACAAATGAACTACCGATTTCAAAAAGATCCGATCGTATGATGGATATTGAGTCGACCGACTGAATGTAACAGCATCCATACATACCGTTTCAACATTCGGTTCTTTTCGAAAAATATCCAACATACCCTGTGAAGAATCTACTCCTTCACATGAAAAATAGAAAATAAATCGTTGAATTAATCGGCCACGATGATTTACCTATGACACGTATTTGATTTTTCATCTTCTTCAAGATTAGTAGCGAATCAGTACCTGGACCACAACCCATATCCACTAAAACATGACCAGGTTGCAACTCTAACGCATTAAAAATTATAGATGATGTCCATTCATTGTAAGACGGGGAATTGAAGAGTGTATTGACATATTTCGATGCTATTGTTGGTGTAAAATAATCTCTTTTTGATTTCGATTCCTCATCCAGAGAAGAAATCGACATACTAAATCTCGAAACGAAATGCGAAGTGAAAAAAGAACCCATCTATCATGTCACACACGCACACACAATGACTTCGATAAGCAATCATCAACTATCGTAGAACAAAAAAAAAGAATGTATGTTGGTGTCATATCACGTCATCTGTTGACTTTAGATATATTTGTTATTCAAAATAGAATCGATATGGAAATGATAGATTTCATGATTGGCTGATACATTGATAAACAGTAACACCTGTCCAACAACCAGTTAAGAGTTTACCATTCGAATAATGCCAAGTATGGAACTCTTTTCTCAATACGAAAAACTGATTGATTAAAATCGGATACGTTTTGACATCACTGATTTGAAATATCTTGACAGTTGAATTACGAAGGTAATTCACAGCATCAGTAGTCATTGCTGCTGGTACTGTGCCTTTGTATACTGTTGTGCCGATAGGAGCAGCTAAAGCGAAAGAGTAGAGACGTATCACAGTGGATATGAATTATTTACACGGATTCTCATATGGACATTTGACTCCTTCTCCCCATGGTCCATTATAATCTTGGGGAGTTGCTCTTCGATTGAAATCTAGATAAACATAAGCATATTTTTCTTCCCAGAATCTGCTGAATGAAATATATACTTCGATGATTGGTCGAATATCCTGTTGGTATAACAATGAATAACATTGAGATGAATAACAAAAGTGTGCTTTTCATGGTATGTTTTGATTTCTTTTCGAAAAAAAAGCAAAATTTCAAATGAAATGCAAGTGACAGTATAGAACCATGCGATGTTTCTTCAAACAGATGTGTTTTTTTCACATTTATACATCTTCATCATCGGCAGATTCGTCGACCAGAATTAAACGATGAACGTTTCATAGATTTCAAATAATGGATTTTTTACCGTAATATGAACATAAATGGCAGTTTTCCTTTCGACACGCGAAAAAATAGGTCAAGATTCGCTATACGTTGTTGAATCCTATCTCATTGTTCTCTTTCTATTCTATCCCAGATGTTGACTGGAACGATCGAGATAGATTTATTTTCACGTAGTACAGTCTTTTTTCGACTTCATCGCACGCATTCATATATATATATATATACTCGTCCGTCGAATCAATCCATCTTCCTACACATCCAGATCTGTCTCTTTCCCATACACACCTATAGAAATCCACGTCATTTCAAACATTCACCTTAACAATCTTACTACTTCATCTGCGTACTGGTCCACTGAATAATCACCTGTTCGAATTATGTTGCGCTTCTTCGTCTAGATGCTTGTCTTAGCTATTGGTACGTGTTGACCCATTTGCACTGATTGTTTCGATTTTAGTTATCAGCCTTGCTACTGCTGTTTCTCGTTTTGTGGAATGCGATCCATCATGTCAAACCTACGGTTATGCTCTAACATGTTGTGTCAATCATGGTTTCAATTATGGTAACTTCTTCGGTCGATCGGCTTGGTGTTCATAATCAATATGCTCATGACCAATTTCGGTCGACATTTGTACGCAATTCGTCTTGAGGGTGTGCATAATGAACCTTTTTCCCTTCATGTTCTCAATATGCATAATTGAGTGATAGCTAGTTAAATAAAATCAAATGAATTACAATTAACTTCGAACCTCTTACACTCTGAGACTACGATAATGACGAAATAATACCGACCATCGGTTTGAAGAACTTACTATGATATGTAGATGAATTTGTGAATGTCATGTTCATTGATGCACCGTACAGCCATTTTACCGAATCGCCAATAAGGTGATGTATCCTTAACCCCGGCAGTAGGTGATCCACAAATTACACCAACTAGCATCAAAATGACCACGTTCTGATAAATTTTGCAACACTTACGCTTGTAGACACCGTCTTCTCTTGTTCAAAACTGTTAACGAAATAGCTAAACATAAGCTCGATTACTTCAAGGGAAGTATTCGTAGGATGGAATGAAGAGGACTCAGAAGGTAAGTCACATTTCGAGATACAAGAATTAACAGCAACATAAAGGGTCGGGGCTCAGATCGAAACAAACAATACAGATATCCGACCCGCAGTACAAAAGAAGTAATACGACTATGGATAATACTGGAAGCAATATGGATTTATGTAGGTTTGTATAATCGAAGGAAAGCGCAAGAAAGAAAGAAAGAGAAATGTCTACATGTGTGAGAAGATGTATTATTACACAGAATTGACTAATATTGTAAGTGCATGAGTATTTTATTTTGAATTTCGTGAAATCAAAAAAATTTTAGATAATATGCCTATCTAAGCAGCGCAAGTGCGTAGTAGAATTTCTACATAATCTCCACCATAGTTGGCAACAGCAATATCTGACCAATGATCTTGATTAAAATCCCCGACAGCGACTGCGTATGGATCATAGTTGTAGCCTAATGTAAAGGATGTTTCATTTCCAAATGTTCCATTGCCATAACCTTGTAGGAGCAAAACTTTACTTGTACCAGCAGCAACAGCAATGATGTCCAAGAAATGATCATTGTTCAAATCAGCAACATTCACCCCGCGAAGTAGAGAACCTAAACCAACTGAGTAGATCATTTGTAGAACGAATGTACTATTACCATCTCCAAGAAATACATAGATGTTATTTAATTCCGAATCAACGACAACAATATCCGAATTATTATCAAGGTTTAAATCTCCGACAGCGACTGCTGTTGGAGTTGAACCATCCAATAAAGAATATTTGATCAACGAACCAAACGTTCCATCACCATAACCATCAATAATGTTTATATCACCTGTACCATAATTACTAACGACAATATCCGAATGATTATCGTTATTAAAATCACTAACAGCGATAGCAACTGGAAGTGAACCCCTGGCGAAAGGATATCGTGATATACCACCGAAATTTCCTGTGCCATAGCTTAAGTGTACACCAACATTATCATTCAAATAATTCGCGGTAGCAACATCCAGTCGACCATTGTTGTCAATATCACCAATGGCTAATGATATGGGACCAGATTTTGAACCAGTTGAAATGGATGCTCCTAACAGAAATCGCTTGTTATTCGATCCGTACAGAATGACCATACTGTTTGTTCCAGGACAAGCAACGGCAATATCTGTTCGTTGATCATTATCAAAGTCACCTGAACGGATACTCTGGGGACTTGATCCTTCACCAGTAGAATAATCCATTACGGGCGCAAATGTACCATTGCCATACCCATATAGAATTCCAATAGTATCATCATTTTTATTACTAACAGCAACATCGGATATGTTATCATTATTGTAATCATTAACGTTGACAAACGTTGGCATGGAAAGATATCCAGTAGAATAGAAAACAGCATTTTGAAAAGTACCATCACCATTTCCTAGTAACGTCGCCATATTATCTCGACGATAATTAGCGACAGCAATATCGAGTCGACTGTCATTATTAAAGTCACCGACAGCTACCGACTGTGGACGAGATCCATCGTTCGTTGAATATGTGACGACGGGACTGAATGACCCATTACCAAGTCCTAACAGAACACCAACATTATTGCCGCGATAATTTGCAACAACGATATCTATTATATAATCATTATTAAAATCGCCCGCAGCAGCTCCATATGGTTGTGAATCATCACCTGTAGAAAATAATAGTACGGGAGCAAACGATCCATTTCCATATCCCAGAAGAACACCTATCGTATTTGAGCCGGCATTCGCTACAACAATATCCGTCTTATTGTCATTATTAACATCGATGGCGATACATTCATATGGATATGAATTGACACCTACTGAATACATTGTTAATTCGCCAAACGTTCCACTTCCATTACCAAATAAGATTCCAACACTGTCGCTCGCTGCAAATGTAGTTGCAATATCTAAGTATGTATCACCATTTAAATCACGAATGGTCATCGATGATGGTCTTTGAGAATATTGATTCGAATATGTTTGTTGGCTTTTAAATGTCATATATTTATAACCGAAAAATATCGCAATATTTTCTGTTCCTTTATTAACAGTGACAATATCCAATATATTGTCTTCATTAAAATCAGCGACGGCCAACGCATACGGCGCACCGCCAGGTCTTAGCTGATACGTTGCTGTCGAGGCAAACCTATTGTTTTCAAATCCAAACAAGACAGTTATACTATCACCATTTGTATTGGCAGTAGCAACATCGGTTCTGTTGTCTTTATCAAAGTCATCAACGACAACATTTTGAGGATGAGTATTTTTGCCGACATCGAATGTCGTCTGTGTTTCAAATGTGCCATCACCATGTCCAAGAAAGACGCCCGCAGAGTCAGTTGCTGAATTAGCAACAACGATATCTAATCGATTATCATTATTAAGGTCATAGACAGCTACTCCATATGGATGTGTTCCACTACCAGTTGTATACGTCAGTTCCGTCTGAAACTCAGCGCCAATATATCTCACAAGTAAATTGACAGAACCAAGACCGGATTCAGTAACAATAATATCCCATCGGGTGTTGTTATTGAAATCACCAATAATGACTGCTTTTGGGCCAGCACCAGTCAGTAACTGATATGACCGAGCTAAAATAAACGAACCGTTTCCATCACCACCGAGAATACCAACATTATCATTGCCAAAATTAGTCACGACAATATCAAGATAATTATCATAATTGACATCTCCTAGAACAAGACCTGATGGATTCGAAAATGAGTCATCTGTAAATGATGTCGCTGCTCCAAATGTTCCATTGTCATGTCCGAGTAGTACAATAACGTTGTCCGATGTTGAATCTGCAGCGATAATATCTAACCACAAGTCTTTATTCAAATAACCAGTAGTGATCGAATCGGGATGCGACTGAAATCCTGTCGAATATGTTATCACTGTGCTAAAGGTACCATCGCCTATTCCAAATAAAATGCCCACATTCCCTCTTCCAGAATTCGCTACAGCTAAGTCTAATATATTATCGCCATTGAAATCAGCCGTAGTAATGGCACTGGGATCTGAACCAACACTTGTTGAATAACTAACTGCATTGGCAAAAGTTCCGTTTCTATTACCTATAAATATAACAACATTATCGATGCGAAAATTTGCAGCTGCAATATCTAAGATGCTATCATTATTAAAATCACCGATAGTAACAGCAATGGGAAACGCTTCAACACCGGTTGGATACGCCGTCATATTGCTAAAACTTCCATTTCCATATCCATACAAAACACCGATGTTATGTTTACCGTAATTAGAAACGACCAGATCCGATCGATTGTCATCATTGAGATCGGCAACAGATATGCAAGTCGGCGAAGATCCTGTTGGCAAGGAACAAGTTATTTCGGGATAGAAACTTCCATTCCCATAGCCGATCACAATGCCAACACTGTCAGTGCTTATTTTGGTAACTGCCATATCTAATCGATGATCGGAATTAAAATCACCTAGTGCAACAAATGATGGACGAGAATTTCGGCCCAATGAATACTGATTTTGATCTACAGTAAATGCAAAAGAATAATCCATTAGAATCAAAACTTTATTCGTTGTATAGCTCGTGACTGCAAGGTCAGATCGGTTATTTTGATTCAGATCGCCGATAGCTACGGAATAGGGAGAATCATTATCATTCGTTATATACGTTGTTATACTCGAAAACGATCCATTGCCATAACCTAGCAGTACATGAATATCTCCATTGATTGAATCTAGTATGATGATATCCGTTTGATTGTCTTTATTTAAATCACCGGTAGCAACAAATTGTGGATATGCAGGAGTTTCGAGTTCCAATAATCTCTGTTGCGCAAATGTACCATTTTTGAAACCGTAGAATATGCTTATACTAGGTACGCCAGAAGTAGCAACAACTAAATCGAGTATATCATCATTATTAAGGTCTCCTAACGCAAGAGAAGTAGGCTGTGAACCGTACTTCGTAGTGTAAAACGTTGGAGACGAAAATTGACCATTACCGATACCAAAAAGAATAGCAATATTATCGATACCGGAATTTACAACAGCTAAATCTAAGTTTTTATCATGATTGAAATCACCTACGACAGTCGCGTATGATAGAGAATCATATCCCATTGAATAACTTATTTCATTTGCGAACGTTCCGTTACCTTGATTAAGATAGATACTTATGCTATTAGTACCGTGATTGACTACAACAAGATCCAATCGTTTATCATTATTGAAATCGCCTGTACTAAGATAGAACGGTCGTGATCTCATAGTCGAAAAGGTTACCATATTATTAAATGTTCCGTTTGATTTACCAAAAAATATACCAATACTGTTCGCACCATATCTACCAATAACTATATCAAGTAGACCATCGTTATTAAAATCGTTCACAACTAAGGAATGTGGAACAGATTTCAATCCAGTTGAATACGTTATTGAATCAATAAAAGTATAGTTATCATTGTTGACCAGTATTTTAATACTATCTGTACCAGAATTGGTAACAATAATATCCAATTTACCATCTTGATTGAAATCTGCTAGTGCAATCGATCGAGGCCGAGAGTTGTAACTCGCCGAATTGCCTATCGTTGGCACAAAAGTACTTAAACATCTTTTATCTAAAAGAAGGTATGTCTGAAGTTTATTTTAAGAAAACGCGAAGTCTCTGGTTTACCTAGCTTTTTATATGTTAAACATACAATAAAAATGCCAACTGTCATAGCTGTACAAACATATGTTACAGACAATATACCCGCCTTTTTTGCGGGCGTGAACTGTTTCTCATGGTTTCTCCTAATCCAAAAGAAGAAATCAAAGTAGAATATACCGAACCAAGCTTTACCTGACGACAGTATTCTCATTAACTGAATTGGTGTGTACACTTGTAATTGATGATTGAGTTCGATCAATCGGAGAGGTATGTTCCAAGTGTATATCAGTTTGAACATGCGTGTTCATTTGTTCGATTTTGTAATTACCTGTCGAACGATAAAATATTTTCTTATATCGACATGCATGATCAATTATAAAATATTTTATTATTATCACATTCAGAGAAAAAAGCAACGTTAATGTTATATGACAGATGAATCTTTACTAAGGCTATTTTGTCACATGTTAGCTGATTACAGTGTCGATTTATCGACTTTTTTTCCTTTTCTTTGTTTTACATATCTATTAAAGCCTGTTCTCATTCTGCGCTGCACACTTACGGCTTGCCACCATCGATTGTGAGAAACAATCGATGACTGAATGTGACCTTGATTACAATATCAACATACTTTATGAAACAGCACGATAATAATAAAAATTAAACAAGCACATAAATACAAGCAATTATATTTTTTGTGAAATCAAATGGATGTTTGACGTATATAATCACTGAAATCTTTTTGATAATGCAATAATCGTATTCTACGTATTTCTATAAATAAAAAAAATACATCTACGTATGTGAGTGTCTTAAACCATGACGATTGTAATTCTTGTTTTTATTTTTATATAAATTTCTGTATTTAGTCAGTTCAAATTGGTATTGAAAATAGACTTGAATGTATTTCTCTTTCATCTACATACATACTTGAGAAGAGCGAAAAGAACGAAGCTTATCATCCGACTCACGGATATAAATATTTCGTCATCATTTTAAAAACACCAAAGGAAAATAGATAGAAATATTCATCATATTCCATACTGAGAGTGAGTATTATAGCTAAAGGTGCTACTCGATTGTTTCATTTCATGAACTTGATTACCAATGCATTTTTGATTGTGTCTCTCATTTCTGACAAGTGTACAGCCAGAACAAGTGATTCAAATACAACATCTGCACAGAAGCTGCTAAGTAAGGATCGGTTGCATGTAATTGGATTATGAATACTAAGGACAGAGGAAATTCACATACCACATACGTACTTGACACCAGGAAAAATTGAGCGATTATTTTACGATGCTTTCGCCATTGTATTCCTTGTCCTTGAAAAGCACATCGCGTTCGATTCACTGCTCGAATCATCAAACAAATATCAACGAAAATGTCCAAGAACGACAGGAACCAAGTGTTGCCGAATTCATCACAGTCAGCGATGCTTGCATTACCAAGGTAACATGAAAAACTGTAGAGAGTCGAATGAAGTCCACAGCACTAAAACTTGATGAAACTATACAGAACATCCAGCTGAGACGGCTGGTAGTATTTTGCGGCGTATGTAACTACACCGATAACTAGAAACGCGTGGAATTTCTATGGTATTAATCAAGAGAGTGATAACATATAATCCGAAGAATCAATGCGAGTGGTTCAAGAACAATTAAAAGAATAAAGTTCAAGTTTCATGTTAACGGAGTTTCATCGGATGGCCGATCATTTGTGGAATTTTCTTGCGTAGAACTAATATCACAGAGAGAATACTCGTTCTAATCTCGTTCCGCACAATTGTCTTTTGAGAATTAAAGTACATCCTTTTTAATATGAAACAGTCTCTAAAGTTATTGAATTTGGATATAGTAAATGCAATCGAACAGAGATTACGCATATGTTTGATAGTGGTTGTAAATCACACTTGCAGATCGTTCGTCCTTAATAGCAGAGCTTCAGAAGACATATGCGCATGATTATGGAATGAATGACAACTAGACAGGGTTATAATCATAGATTAAAGTGTGAGGACGTTGTTACACAACGATTCGATGCATACTTATGTTTTCAATTTATTTGAAACTGGTCTAGTCACTGTTCCTTTACTTTCTCTGCCATTTGATTCAATCTATCGACGATTGAATATCACGTCTGTATTTATTAACATAACAAAGAAGTAGCATCGTTCAAGTACGTACTTTCCGATGCTTCTGATCATTTGCATACTACTATCAGTTATAGTCTATACTTCATCAAACTTCGTTTATTTCTATTATCGATACTGAAAAATCCACAACCAGAAGTGTCTCTGCTCGCTAAACAACTGGATCACCAATAATGTGATTCAATATAAATTTCAACCATTTCATAACATAAATATCATCAAGTACTTCAGAGCCGATAGTGCTTGTAGATGAATCTCCAGGTACGATTCTCTCGAAAGGACTCTGAGAAAAAAATTCTACGATAGGCTCCGACTGTTCCGCCACTCTTCTTTTCCATTCTTCGTATGAAACATCGTTCACAGTCATACCACATTGCCGCATACATACAATTAGATTCTCAAATGGTACTCCTTCACCGAATGGAACAATGTGATGCACTTTTCCGTTGATATTCGACCGCTGACGACTCAGTGAGACAATACCCTGAACTGCTAAATTAGCTGGTAGTCCATTCAATATTGTGTTGATAGCCGTCGTCGGAAAGCAGCCAGTTTTTATCATTGCTCTTATAAATAGTGTAAAGATGTCGTGCTGATTACAAGCACCAGTTTCTGAATCTGCCCATATTGATCCAAGCCGATAAATTGTCACTGACAAACCGAGACGAATAGCTTCAGCGATAAGTTTCTCCGCCACCCATTTACTTTGTGCATAACCCGTTCTCAAATGATCTGTCGACACTTCATCGATATGCATTTCGTGTTCTACAGTCGACGGTAGAACACTCATGGTGGATATGTAGTGTATCGGTATGCATCGTATCGAATGATGACTTGCAAAACGAATTACTTCTCGAGTACCAAAAACATTCGAACTATAAAGATTTTCATATGGAAGTACAAAGTTGACTATAGTTCCACAGTGAAAGATCACATCTGTTTCATTTGCTAATGCAGAATACGTTTCTATTTCCATTCCAAAATATTCTTGTGCAAGATCACCTCGAACTGCAACGATACGATCTTCGTATGTTTCATTCCATAATTGAAGGAATATCATATTCTTTCGAATACGATCTAGTGGAGGTATTGACATGTCACATCTAACTAAACAAATAAATTTACAATCACAAGGATATACTTTCAGTAGTTCAGCTAAGAGAAAACCACCAACGAATCCAGTAGTTCCAGTGATGAAAACGATTGTAGGTGAATCTTTTGCGTCTTTCGTCTCTTCGATGTTGACATTGAGCACTTCTGCAGCATCCTGTAACAATCGTGATTTGATTGAATCGGAGTGTGATGCAAGTCGAGATGGATCTTCAATCATTTTTGTGAGACTTTCTAGAGTCATATTCGAGTCAAACAGTAGATGCAATGGAATCGATACTCCCAAGTCATTTTGTATACTACGAGAAAGACGTACAGCAGCCAACGAGTCATTACCGAGAGAGATCATGTTTGTTGATGAGTTCGAACTAAAGTCGCGTCCAATAGCTTTTTCGACTAGAATTTTCAGTCGATCTTCGATTGATTCAGCTGCCTTCAATCGATCATGGAAATGAGCACCCAAACGATAACGACAAAGTTTCATCGACGATGTAAGCAAACCATTTTCTGATGTGAATGGTTCGAAGCTGATGATACATCGTGAAGGAATCTCATGTTTTCGAAGTGAGTCTTTCGTTGCTAACGATCGCATATCATTCATAATAGCATCGCATAGTAACTTCTCTGCTTCACGACCACTGTTGAACTTTGCATTCAGATGATGTTTTTTCATAAATGCTTGAACATATTCTTTGTTTGGCACAATCACTGCTATAACAGAATCTTCTAGTAGATTCCCATGAATATAGATTTGTTCGATAAACGCACTTTCTCGATAAATATTTTCGAGAAACTCGGGTGACACAAATTGTCCTTGTGAAAGTTTGAAAAAGTTCTTTTTTCGATCAATAATCTGTATGATCGCTTGTCCATTCTCGACATGACGTACTTCAACAATATCTCCTGTACGAAAATATCCATCATCAGTGAATGCGATTTTAGTTTCTTCAGGATTGTTGATGTATCCAGAAAACATCTTATTCGTTTTCACTAATAATTCTCCTCGTGGAAATGGTTTATCTTCAACTGTATATCCCATTTCGACGACTGATTCGAGACGATAGTTGACTGAAGTTTCAACGAGATTATCAAATGTGATGCTTCCGCATTCGGTCGTTCCATAAGATTCCATAATTTGACATCGATCCGAAAAGCAACGCTTCATAAAATCAAGCACTGTACCACTTACCATTGCACCACCAATCGACAGAACTCGACATCGATTTGGAATCAACTTTGCAAATTGTTTCAGCAGCATTTCTTCCGTTTTGGCTGCATCTTCATCTGATTGATCTGCTGTCATCAATGAGAGAGTTGCTTTATATTCAGAATAGATCTTATTCCAAATCGTCGGCGGAGCAGAGAAACTCGTTGGTCTCACTAGAAGTAATTCTTCCATGAGACGATCGACGTTGCCTGTTGAGAATCCTATCCGTCCTCCGCCGAGAAAGACAGCAATTGAACCTTGTCGATCTGTGGCCCATGCCAATGGTCGATAACAAAACTTCACATGTTCATCTCGAAACGATAAGTTCAACGAAGGGAAATTACTTTGAAATACATTTGCGGAGATCATCGCACCTTTCGGAAATCCTGAACTTCCACTAGTATAAATAATTGTAACACAATCATCCGGTTCACTTATAACAAACTCATATTGTTTCATGGAACCAAGCCTTTCGATTGTCGTCATGTTGTAGATGGACAGACTATCGATCTTCAATATCGTTTCATCGATAGGATCCATACATACGATGTGTCGAAGTGATGGACACTCACCATGTATTCGAATGAATTTCGGTAACATCCCTCTTTCCCATACAACACTCGAG